TGAAAAGAACTGGGAGACAAATGAAAAGAAGTGGGAGACAAATGAAAGGAAGTGGGAGACAAGCCAGCCGCGAACCCGACCACAAGCACCGAGCTTGGGAGACAAATGAAAAGAAGTGGGAGACAAATAAAAGGAAGTGGGAGACAAGGCGGCCGGGAACCCGACCAGACCATCCAGCACCAAGGCGACCATTCTTTAAAGCATTGAGAACCCCTAACAGTAAACTGTTTGGGGAAAAACAGAGATGTTCAATCGGTCTTGACATGTCTTGACATGTCTTGACAATTTTCTTTGAAGTATCGATCGATATTGGGAACATGATGGAATTTAAAAACCAGAGTTCAAGCCTTGTCCTCCACTCTGACATCAGAGTGCTTCCCACAATCTGATTTGATCGTCCTCCCAAAAAAATTGCAATAAGAGTGACCACATATGCCTCTGATGCCTCGATAATTCTGAAACTTTCACCTGGCGCCACCTTCAGAGTGGCCTCTCAAACCTGAATCACGATAGAAAAAAACCTCACTTTCCTACCCAACAAACCGGAATGAATCAAACAATACCAAATACACAGCTTACATGGTCAATATAAAAAGTAATCAGCAAATAAAAACAGCTATAAAAACCCTTCTCACCTGGCTCTTCCCCAAGCAGCTGTGCTCCCATCCACCCATTCCGCCGTCCATCACCGCGAGCTGGCCTCCAACTCCGTCTGCCGGGCGACGCGCGCCTCAGCCTTCTCCACCTCACTGCCACGAGCAGCCACCGGGGTGGGGGGGCTTGAAGCCCAAACAGAAAAAAAACACCAAACCATCCAACTTCATGTTCAAGCAAGCCCGCCCTCCCTTTAAGCACGGTCGACTTCTTTTGCTGGTTGGAGTGCTGACTTCATCTGTCAGCTGTGTCTTGCATTGACAGTTCGCATCCACCATCCTCGACACCAATCTCTGTACTGGTGTGCGTGGGTGGGAAGAAAAAGAGTTCGTTTCCTGTTTGTCAAGGCTTTTGCCTTTCCCTAACATTCAACTTCACCTTCAAGCAAGCCCACCCTCTCTGCATTGAGCTCATTTTGCTGGTTGGGCTGACTTCATCTGTCAGAAGTGTCTAGTCTTGCATTGACAACTCGCATCCACCATTCTGATTGGCTCTGCTGCGAGCTCTGAGGGCTCTCATACATTTGACGTACCTCCACTGATTAATATGAAGGTGTGCCTGCAGGATGACCTCATCCACATGCCGTGCGCCAATTCCATGGCCACTTCCAAATCAGCTCCATCTGCGCCAGCTTTGCAAACTTCAATGCCAGTAAGAGTTGGGCTCTTCTTTGGATGCGACTCCACATCAGCGTCCATTGTTGGCTGCCACTTAGTGTGGTCTTCTGCGTGTCTTTGTTTGCTGGTTCAGTCTGCGGGGCGTCTTCCGCATACGTTACATGACCGACGAACGCCATTGGCCTTAAGAAGGCCAACTCTTGAATCGCCATTTGGAGGTCAACAAGATGAAGGCCACGTTGCGACCAGCTCTCTCATATGCTTGGGGAGTCGTGTGGACGCTCAGCAAAGTGGAGTGGAGCTCAATGTTGCCATTCGCTGGAAGGACATTCGCCAAAAAACAACCTACCATGGCGAGATGAGACCCCCCAATAGCTTGTCTTCTGCGACCTGGGCCAAGCTCTCGAAAGCGAAGATGGTAGAGGGTTAGTGCAAAGTGAGGAAATCGCCTGTCTTGGGATTCTCAGCAAGGAGCAAGAAGAAGTGGCGCTGCACACATAAGGTTTATAGCCCGTTGAGGGCCTGCCATTACCGTCAAGATGTTTAGCCGCTTTGCGACCTGAAAGTCCAAAGTCAATGGGGACAGTGGATCCGAAGACGACGGTGATGATGATGATGACGACGACGATGATGATGATGATGACGGGGCTTCTGATCTGGTCATGCTGGGATGCCCTCAGAGGTCAAGACCGAATCCGCCAAGAACCCTCGGCCCATTGCCCACCGATCCACTCACCACACTGCCCATTGGACGTCCTCCGTGTACTCCGTCGGCAGGCTGTCCCATGGCCATGAAGCGCCGGACCGTCTGATCTGTTCCAACTTCTCCGCCCTCACCTTCTCATCGGCCTGGCAAATCAGGCCCCATGCACGTGGCCATTGGAAGACCAACTTCTCCATGACCTGCTCGTATAGCAGAAGCGCTGCTGGTGTAGCTACGCCTACGCAAACGCAAGCTGTTTTCCAAATGGCACCGTCCAGATATGGGGGCTGCTTCAACGCCCACACTCTGTGTTGCAAAGCTGCCAGCTGGTGCTGTCGCCTAGTTGGCAATAGCCATCTAGGCGTACGGCGAGCACTGTGCGGGTCAGGGCCTGACAGGGAACAGAAACAACAAAAGATGTCATCGCCCCAAACAACATCCCCTCAGTCCAATGCCTCTCCAGGAGCCAGCCAAAAGATTCCACAGGAATGGCCAGCAGCCAGCTAGCAATTCCCCGAGGTCGCCCGGGTCCAGCAGGCGCAAAGCGTAGTAGCGCTCGCACAGCGGCCGCACACCGTGGGGCGCCATGTGTAGATCAAATACGTGAACTGGTCGCACCGGCTGCCGGCACATGGGCAGCACAAGTCCGTGTTGCTCGATGGTCGCCAGGTGGTGCTCCGCTGTGCGAGTGAGGGTGTCCACACCCGCGTCGAGCAGGCGCAACAGTGGCGCAGTTCTTCTCCTCCTTCTTCTTCTTCTTCTTCTTCTTCTTGTCTTCTTCTTCTTGTCTTCTTCTGATTCTTGGAGGTGTACCCATCACAGCAATGTATCTCTGCGCCCATCCACGCAGCTTCAATGCTTCTGGCGTCTTTGTCTCCAAGTCGCCCGTCTGATCAATTAAGTTCACCATCTTCAGCTGTTGACCCTGTGCTTGCAGAGCTTCCACTGCCTTCAACAAGTGGTCCTCCGCTGCTCCCTCAGAGGCCGTTGGACGTTGAAGGACTTCATGGGTCTATGTCACTAAACTTCTCTGGATGCCCCCCCCCCCACCCACCTGTACCGCTTGTGCGGCAGAAAGGTTATCACCGAAAGGAAGGACCGCTGCTCCCACTGCTTGGGGAGAATCCCAGCCGCCAAGAGCCTCAGGTCATTCAGAGGGTCCCCGGCCACATTGACAAAAGGCTCCCCAAACATCGGCATGAACGTCGAGGATCGATAGCAGGTCCGGGATTGTATGCACCGAAGTCGCCACATCTATGTGTAGCAACACCATCGCAGCAGGCGAAACCAGGCTTCAACAAAAGAAAGTCACATGAGACCTCCTTTGAACCTCGTTTCAGGTTCGAGAACCCTCCCTCCACCCTGGTGAGAGTGCATTTCCGATCTAAATCCATGTGCCGAGCTCCTGTTCATCAAGGCTTTTGCCTTTCTCAGAAACGGAAAAGCATAGCAACAATGGAAGAACCATGAAAAACCTGACTCAGGTCTCGAGTTTCTGGATTTCACTTCATGGGTTGGTCTCATCTGGGAATTGTAAATGAGGGTTGAGCCACAAACTCATTTCACCTAAACCTTGATCTGTGCAAATATAGAAGTCTCTGCCTGTCCCTATGGCCTCATAGACTCAAGACTCAAAGACAATCAAAGTCTTTACCGAACCCACAACCCACTGTTCTATGTTGGCTTGAGAGTGGAAGCTTTGGCATGATTATGACATTGTGCAGCACATGCTTCTTGGACGAGTTCTCAAGTGTGTTTCATAGTTTCATGTAACAACTCCAAGCTGGAAATGAGTGATTCCACAGCGCCTCAGCCCCCAGTTGTGCCGCAGTGGCCAGCAGTTGCCTCTCCGACAGGGCTCTTTCAAGAGGCCCTTTCGCATTGCCTTTATGTACATGTGTAAGTTTATTGCGTGCTCTTAGAACGATCCAGAAAACCCTAAGCACTGTGCTCGCTTTTGGTAGGACAAGTCTACACTTGGTATGGTTGGTACTAGAAATTCGATGAATTTCGCCAGATTGAATCATCCGGATCGTCCGCGTATCATATCCGCATCTCATAATGTATAGAGAGACAGCTGCCTGGAAGGACGCTTGGTTGCTCCAGGCCCTTTTTATTACCAGTATCGGTCAAACTCATAGCCCAAGAACTTCTTACTAGAGCTTTGAGTGAAAAAAACTGAAAAAATACTCTTTCAAAACCAATCTCAAGAAGGAACCTCCAGGCATGCCATCCTCCAGACATCCTGAAGAGGACTCCCCTTTCGGCACTCGGTGCCATCCCGGAAAGCAGGCAACGGAGAGCCTCCGGTCTTCGGCGGCCAACTTCTCTTCGGCCGTGAGGTCCTCCACCCTCCGCAAGAGCTGCTCACTCTGCGAGACGATGACCTCACTCGGTGCGTTCGGGTGGAGGACCAGGAGATGGCACGCTTCGCTACAATCTGGAGGGGCTCCGTTCGTAGTAAGGCCAGGAGCCCCTAATAGCATGAAGCCATAGGACCACAGGCGTCTTGAAAAAATGGACCGCGCACTTTTCTTTTAAAAACAAGAGAACTCACCTGTAATCATCATATTCATCTACGTTGAAACCACTTCATTCATGGACCTAGGTTGCAGAAACTATCAGCTGTCTGAATGTCCCTCTGTTTTTCTACTGTTTTATGCTCTGTTCAGACGACCCCGAACCTCCCGCATCAGATCCTCCTCACTTCGAAGGTCCACTGTACCCTGCAGGGAGGACGTTTACAAAACAAGTCGCTTTGCACAAACCAAGTCCTTTGCATCCACTCTATTGCCACCTGGTCATAAAGGGAGATTGGTGCAGTCCAATCTATTGCAATCGAATAGATCGGGACGCGTCTATCCAACCCCCACATTTTGCCTTGTGCAAGGCGGCTATGTCAGCCTCGACCTGTGCCTAAGCATTCACGGGCATAGACTGCAGTAGAGCCGAGTAGACTGTAGACTGTAGACCAGTGGTCTGAGCTCGATCATCTCGGCTTCTTGCAATCCGCTTTTCCAGCTGCTCATTCACCGACTCCAAGGCCTTCGCGAAGGCGTCTCAAAGCACAGACCAAGGCGGAAGGACCGTCGGACCGTCGGCGTGGAAACAGATCACAGATCTCCGCCTTCACTCTCTGTGAGGCCGATTCTTGCGCATCCTTCAGCACCTCCCAGACGTATAAAAAATGGCTCCAAAGTCTCACAGGTCAGGTCAGGTCTATTGTGTGGGAGGGGGTCTTCAGTGCCGTGAAGTCGGTCCCGGCCGCCACATGTTCAATCTAGAGCCTCCAACTCGTGCTTGGCCATCGAGAGGTCCGTCCCGCTGGACAAAGCCTGCGTTCGAAAACATCGACAGGAGCGAGGCTGTTTGCAGATGTGTTCAATGAAAGATGTCTCCTGCGAGCAGGTGTTGGATTCTGACATCTTCTGATCAAGGCCCATTGGATTCGTCACCGAATGGCCATGTCTGACAGTCACCGAAAGGCCATTCGTCAAACAGCCGAACTGTGCAAATGCTCCAAACAGTCTGAAAGATAGCTCAGCTCCACCAGAGCATCACCGGAGCTCGAGCTCCCGACATCCGCCAGAGCCAAGCGCAGCTGTCGTGCTTCCTTGTCCACCGACCTCAACTGAAGAAGCGGGCGCTCGTCCCGAATCGGGTCATCCGAGCGGCGAATTGTGCCACCAATACTCCTACAAGAGGCTTCTAAATTCGACAAAGGAATCATTTGCAAAAGCATAGCGGAATTCACCGAACCGTCTTCTTCCACCGGGCGGGTTTCAACTGAAATGACATGAAGCCAGTGACGCCATCCATGTGGCGCCAGAAAAGGCCACCACACCCTGAATCTTCGGCTCTAAGGCGTCTGCACTAAGGCCTCACGGTACCTTGGCAACAAAGAAATCTATCCCAAAATCCACCCCACGGTACCTATTCCATTCTCATCCAGGGCCCGTTGTGGATGGGTAATGGGATAGACCCAACTCTAAAATAGTGGATGATGATTAGGTTGCAGGCCGACATCTCTAAACTAGTCATGTTCTTGTTTACCGACCATGAACCAACAGGTATTTTGTTCGGACAGACCCAACCTATGCCAGGAAACCATGCAACGTCCAAAACGACCCAAGCGCGCTCTACTGGGACGTGCACGATTTGGTTTCTTTCTCACATCGCTGGACGTCCTCAACGGACACCATACTTTCTAAACCTTGGACAAGAGAAAGACTTCAGCACACAAGTTACAGTTGAGCAGAATTGAGAAAGTGATTCTTTATGAGTCTGTCTTTCTCAGTGTCAAACGCCTTTGAGCCGCGTCTGCAGCGGCCTGGCAGGAAAACACTGGGCTTCTTGCATTGGTAGAGGTTGTGCCGCGCTATTGACCCACTGAGGAAAGAAAAGGTCATTATAGCAAGATCCAGTCATGAAGCCCGTTATGTGACTACCTTGTGCTTGAATCTGTCCCCACTCCCACCAAGATTGGAGCAATTCCCCAATTGCAAAAAACAAACAAGAAGTCCATGACCAAGCCTGGGCAGCTGCCAACGCTTGTCTCTGCTTCTCCAAGCGTGCTTCCTGCCAGGATCTCACATTCTCAGGTTGCGATCAAAACTTCTTCCTCCCATGGCCTCAAAAAATGAACATGAAAAAAGTTGAAAGAGAAAGAGATAAAAACATTGTTGTTCTTTTTTATTGTATTTTTTTTGAAATCTTGCCCGTGGCCCTGCCTCTGTACTTGATTAAGTACGTTAAGTAGGCGCCTACTTAATTAAGTAAGGGTAAGGGAGTAAGCTACTACATATCGACGCAGGCTCAGGCTGCTTCAAGGAAGCTCCCCCAAACGCTGGCACTGATGATTTGGTTCCTAGATGTTTAGGGAAACTTAACTCACGAGGAGTCTCGCGACGCTGCAAATACAACAAAAATGGAACAGAACCTGAAACCAAGCGTCTTGTCTTCAGATCCTTACTTACGCCGGACATCGCTTGCGAGCCCTCGCAGCGTCCTCTTCATGAAGCTCCTTCGCTGCAACCTACGATGTGCCCAAGCGGATCTTGCGAAATCATCCAGAAGAAAAACCATCGTTTCCGTTCGTCAAACAGGAAATCCTCGGGGTAACATTTCCTCTTCATCAAGAACCTTAAATCTCTTTATTCAGGATCCCTTGAGATTTATTCAGGATCCCTTGCGCGATCAAGGCGGAACAGTGCACGGCATATCCTACCAGTTCCTTTCCCACGTCTCCCCAAAGCCACTATCTGTTGAAAACCCCAAAAAATGCATCAAGTTCTTCCCCAAGTTCTTCCCCAACATCTCCATCTTCCGCCTCGTTCCTCCTCGTTCCGCCTCGTTCCGCCTCGTTCCGCCTCTCCGCCCGGGGCTCCCCGGCGTTCGCTTCCTCGGCCGCTTGGGCCGCGGAGCGGCGTGCTTCGGCCAGCTGGGCCTCCTGCTGCGCCAAGCCTCGGTTCGTCGCTTCTTTCACGAGGTTGGTCTGGACTAAGGGACATTCCATGAAATTCAAAAAGGTACGCGAGGTCTCAGGTTCAGAATCTCTCAGTCTGTGTTCAGAATCTCTCAGATTTCATCAGATGTCCAAAGACAAATCAAGAAACCTTGTGTATTGTAGGTAGAGTTTCTTGGCTGAGCGAACCAACCAGATTCGATCTCGGCTCTCTGTTGCTTCAAGGTCTCCAGCTTTGCCTGGATGACCAGCTGCGCACTGGTCGTGTTGCTTTTCCCAAAGATTTGGGGGTTGGAGAGGACATGATGCATCTCTGCATCACCACCTGGGATACGCCAAATCTTGCCAACATCAGACTGTTCTGTGTGTGTGTGTGTGTCTACGCGTCATAACTTGCGTTCATCACTAGATCCCTGCCACAGCCTCCAAGTCATGGTTTCTTTCCTCCGCATCCTGGCCATGCCGGGCAACTCTGAACCATGGCAGCAAACGATTGCAGGAGATCGAGCCTCGTATGCTTGAATAGTGGTCTTTGCTTCGCTGTCTCCGCTCCAATCCGTGGTCTCCACTCAGCCGAACAACTCCAATCCCAATTGAACAAAGACTTCGTGATCCATAACTGCTATATGGAGACGTGTAGAACAGAAACCCGTAGACCGACCCCCGTCGTTCACGACCCCGTGGGTTCGGTTCGGTTTGAAAACTGATTCGTCTACCTAGCCCAGCCAGGGCCGAGAAAGGGGTAAGAAAATACACACCATGTCCATACAAGTACTTGCACTCAATACTCCACAGTATATAATTGTTTGGATGTCTTCCAAAAAAACGATTACTCCTCTCAGGATCTACAAGTACTCCAGACTCGACAGTAGATTTGATCGAAACAGTCCCAACATCCTGCACAGCACCACCGCGGCTGAGGCGATCTCGCTCACCTGAAAGGGCGGGTCGACGCCATTTTGGGCATCTCTGATCCGTAGATGTTGAACTTAGCCATTTTGGCGAAGAGCACCCACGAAAAAGAATCGTGATGTGAGGGTTCCTGAATTTTGTGAGACTATTCCTTCATTTGCCAGTAGTGTTGGGTGGACTTGGGCTAACTAGTTTCTGGTCATACCCTTCTGAGCATCCTAAATACGTCTCTTGAAACAACATCGTGTTTAACTAGTGCTGCAAAGGCTTCTTGTTTCACCAAATCGCAGTCAACTGTACACGATCAAATCGGGTCCTGTTGGCCCAATCTGCGACAGAAAGGACTTGGCTATACAATGGGAACACCAACACGAGGTGCTCCCGTCTTCATCACCAAAGTAAATGGCCAAGCTGGTTAGTTCAGGCCGAGTGGAAGAAGGCTGCAAATGGATGTTGAATCAATTGCGCAACAACTACAGCACAGCTGATCGATTCCTGCGAATGTGAAAAGGCGAGCTGAGATTTGTGTCTAAACATACAGGGCTGGTATCTGATGATCTCACCTCAGAAACAGTATGAGTCACTGCCTCAGAATCTACGTGAGAATGCCTATGGACCTATATATATATATAGTAAATATATTAAAAGGTTCTCGAGTAACAAACAACAAGTGACACGGCACGCCACCTCCGGTAGGAACGCGTCGAAGCCGTCCGGAGCAGCTTTGACATACGCCGCAGAAGTTGAGATCTCTGCTCACCTGCCAGGTGTCACCGTGTGGGATCCAGCATCATGCTGTACTGTGAAGACACGTCCCCTGAAGTCCATATCAGGTGGTCAATCAACGGCACACAAACACCAATCATACCTCCACAAGGATGCAGCTTGCTTTCCGTTCACTTTACCAGACTCTAGTGAGCGATGCTGAGCACTTCTAAGAGCTTTGATTGGTCATAGTCGCGCCATACCCTACACCCTTTTAGCAACACTTAAGACTCCAAATCCTAATAGGTGAACACGATCGAATATCAATGGCCAAAAGCGCCTGCACGAGGCCAGACTGTCACATGTTGGACTGCCCAAGCTAAGCTGATCAACCCCTCTTAATGGGGTTTCACGTGTGGAATGACGGACCGAACGCTCGCCTTCAATGTCCGCGTCTCCAACGTGTCTTTCTGGTGGGAGAGTGTTGTCATGTGACTTCACGATGGTCTCCTCAAGTGCTGAATCAAACTAATGATGGTTCAAGCTGAATTCCGTTCTATGCCAAGTGATTGACCCATTTTTAACAATGCACTTCTCGTGGTGAAACACTAGTGGAATTCACGATCTCTTCAGCAAGCTTCTTGCGGAGTGGTTTGGAAAGAAGCGCATGCAATGCAGCTTAGGCACACCAGCCGCGTGAGCTGCTTTGATCTGGATCGTCAGAACGGAGGACCCATGTGTTGGTTGGACAGTGTGCAAGGCTACTTGGTGCAGGAAGTAGACATCTCCTTCGGCATACTCATTAGAATACCTGAGGAGGTTCTGAAGCATAAAATGAATCACCAGTGCCTTCATAATGATCTTCATCTTTGTACCTAAAGCCTAAAACTGTGATCCAAGCTGCAGAATGTCCAGCTTGCCAGGAACTGCCACCATCTCCCCTGTCAATTCAGGATCCTGTGTCCTGTTCAGCATATAGTGCTGCTCCTTGTCACCGGTCACTCCCCAAAGATGATGCAAATACGAGCCCTTCAAATTGCAGCTCCAGAAAGAGGCTCGGTGATTGTGTATCACGGTCTCGTGTGCGTCCTCTGAGCCAACTGTCCGTCCGTCTGAAGTCATGGGTTTCTGACGGTGTTTCAAAAGTAACACTTCACGGTTGAGTTGATGGGACCATCCTCGCACATAACTTGGTATCGACAATGTCTGAATTCAGGTCAACCTGTGAGTGACAGAGATTCAATGAGATTCCACGCATCGTTTTTTCGTAGTTGCCAGGGAAAACACAATCAACAATCCTAACCCAAACGGTCCTCAAACAGATGAAGTCTCACTTCGATACCATCTCCTCTGTAGAGATGCAACCGCTTCATAACTCCTGCAACAGCACACATTACATTAGTAATCATGACTCAGTTATATACTGGTTATTACAACTCCTGTACGAAACTTCAATCTTTTTGACTCGACAGTTTACCAAAGCTGCCAAACTTAAAAAGATAGTCATACAGACTTCCCTGACACTGAACATCGTCAAGCCACACTCAAGGATGCACAGCACTTCCTTTGAACATCAGACCATGAAAATGTTGAGCCGCCTGGCACTTCGTCCATCTTGAAGGACTCACATGATTGAAGCCAAGATTTGCTGAGCATCCACACTCCTCTTTGCTGAGCATTGGAGAGAAGAATGATGGAAAAATTGGTCTCCAACCAAGGGACCTGAAAAAATAGAGAGAACACCCTGAAACTAAAATACCCCAAATCATGGTGAATACGATCCCTTTACCTCCAAAAGAATCCATTCCAACTTCCAAGACGCTGATGCTCTTTTTGATGGCATCGACGTTCGGGCGATCATCCGCTTGGACTTGCTTGCCAGATCTCTCTCGGACCATTTGGTCAAACTTTTTGATCTCGTCTATCATGATTCTCAACGTCTGTTCGCCGTCCTGATGCCTCCGATAGCTTTCGGTGGCCACCACCTCAAGGCCTCCGGTGCTTCGGACTTCAAATCGCTGCCGGCCATCTCGATGTAACTGGTTCTCAATCAGATGCTCCAAGGAGTACCTGGCAGTTGCGAGGTCTTCGGTGAAGACCGAACTTGAGAGAGCAGAGGGGTCAACGAAAGGTAGAAGGCTAGGCCGGCACCCCCCCAAAACGCCCAAGGCCGCCCACGTTCCTGTGACCCGGTGCGAGAAGCGAGATGCGAGCACCCTCGGGCCTCCCCCTCTATGAAGAATCCTTCCTTACAGGACATAACTCTGGGCAAATCCCCAATTCCTGGTGAGAAATACAGTGCTAAAGCTTCCTGGTGAGAACTCTGTTGGCCCCCTCTTCTTGCACTGAAAGCTGGGATGAAATGTATTTCGAGCTATTGCGACGGGGCACATTGATGGGATCATTGATGGGATCATTGGAGTGTCTGGCGATGGTTGTCATCAGTGATACCCTGCTGCAGAGGTCAAGACCTACCGAGTTGGGAAAAAGGAACTTAAATAAAGGACTACAGTAGAGGGAACACGACGATCTGTACGCACTGTCACGATGCAAGCCTACCTGAGGTCAAGCCTTTCGGGAACACATCACAGTAGAGGGCTGTACGCGACGATCTGGCGCACTCATCCGAAAGGCTTTTCAAGTACTGGAGGACGTCTACCATTGGTCGAGAACAGAATTCTCCTGCTCGGAGGAATTTGGTCAGCTTCTTCGATACATCCTTTTCGAGATCCCGCACGAACTGCCTCAGGTGCGAAGGCTATACCAGCAAAAGACATGATGGCAATGCAAAACAACGGCAACACAGACTGAAGCCTATTGGTTGTGTGTTAAAATCATTGATTGGTGTGAAATGAAGAAGCCCACAACAATCAAGTCCATCAGGTCCATCAGCTCCTGGCCTTCTCAGGTTGCGTCTCTCGCCCTGTGACGATCTCCGAGAACGTTCTCGCAAATACTTCGTCCGGGTGGGACGACCCTCTGTGGCTTTGTAGGAAGGCTCCTGTCGAGGAGAGCTGATCTTCTCCCCATGAGGTGATTGTTTGATTGCATGAAGAGACAAAAAGAGCAACTGCTGCAGGTGTAAATCAATGTTGGCATTCGGCTTGATATGTGTGCTCTTGAGGCTTCTTGATATGTATTCAAGAAAAGAAAGAATCCGCGGAAGTATACATCCCTGCTGCACAACACTGTCATCAACCCAATGTCGATTCTGCACAAATCTGCCGGGCCTTCGTCCCAAAGCGAGGAATCACCTTCATGTTTCTGAGCTGTGTTGTATCAATTGGAGGCAGTTCAATAAACTGTTGCAAGCCGCGCCTCTGTGGCCTGCCCTGTTTCAAACTGATGCTGTCGGATCATGATGGCCAACGTCTCTAGTTGAAACTTTTAGCTTGGGCCAAACTGATATGTGTCGGTATCAGGCACGAGCATGTGAAGGCCTACTGGTGCCGACTGCTACTGGGACGTGACTGCAACCCACGGAAGCTCCGTGCTCTCTGGGGCATCTGCTTGTTAGCGATGCGACCTTTTGCTGGAGCCTGCGTGTTTGTCAGCCAAGGAAGCTGCTTCTGATCATTGAGAAAGTGCCGAGTCTCAAACGAATTAACGACTATAATGACAACTAATTCTATATAGACGGACTGCAAGTTAGAATGGGTGTCCCATATGTGCTTATGTTGTTTCTACACAGATAGAAAGATTAGGAAAAAGCCCACAGAAAGAATGCCGGCAAGACATCAAAAAAACCTCAGAGATAGAATGCCAGTACAAAGCTAAGCATCAAACCTCAGGACACCCATTCTAACTCAAATATGTGCTTCGGAATGGAAGTTCATCAATACTTGTCTTTGTTGTTGAAGAACCCGTATAGCTATCTATAGCTTGAACCAGTTTGCAGCTCCAAGACTCTGCCTTTCAACCTCTGCTCGCAGCTCCCCGCGCTCACGTTCACTCTGGGCCTGAGTGCACCGTGTCCGAAGACGTCACCGGACCAAAAAGGACCAACGAAATGTGACGAAAACTCCTCAACTTCGCACTGTTGTCCAAAGGCAATTCTGACACCTCCTTTTTCATCCCCCATAAAAAAAGACCATCAACTACCTTCCGTTCTATCTGCCAGACCAGAAAGCGCCAGACCTGATCCGTCCACGTCCACTCGTCCACCGACCCCGACTGGGCGCCACCCGCGATGTTCTCCCGCTGCGACAGCACCTTACGCCGCCACTCCACCAGTTCTGCCTTGGACAGCTCCACCCGGCAGCGGTCCCGTAAAGGAGCCCGTTTGGTCAGGTCTCTCCAATTGGTCCGCGTTGGTCATCACATTCTTGAAACAGCGCAAAACAGAATTCACCATTTGGGAGGAAGATCTTGCTTTTGGGGACAAGACGATCAATGCTGCAATGCTTACAAAGACCAGAAAGGCTCCGCAACAAGAAAAGCCACTTGGAAAGACCACGGACCCTGCATGGGCATGCATAGGCTTGTTTTCGGAGCCTTCAATCTAAATCTCCAAATACGCAATTTGGTGGGTACTAAGTCTCACAGCACTAACACCCATATACAAAAAATCGGAAATCCTACACATTCATCTGATTGCGCATCAAAAGAATACACAAATCATGGGATTCTTTGAAAGGAAAGCTTCGGCCTCTACTCACACACAGCAAGATCGACAAACCCCGTCACCATGTTGCAAGCGCCTCCAAAGATGGGCTTACCGGCGAGGACGAGGAGTCGTCGGCCTCAAAAAGACACTGAACCAGGGTGGAAGAAAAAAGGAAAACCCTCCACCTGTAGTCTCTTCCTGCAAACACAATCGCTACTAGGTTGGAGGCCATCGCTAGACTTCACCTCATCCAATCTCCTGCTACATCTGCTCTGTGGCCAACCCTCTCGGGGCATCCGGGCTGGTGACCGTGGTGCCTCCGCATCGGCGCCTCAGCGACCAAAAGGACACCGCGAACAGGAAGACGGTTTGGACACGGTTTGGAGGTCCCTGTACGAGAACGAAGGGTTCCGTCCTCTGAAAAAGGGGACCAAACGCCCAATGTCCAAGGAGAAAACGCCTTTTTCATCATCCAAAAAGGCCACCGAACTTGAAATGGAACTCTTGGCAATTGACCCACAGGTACCGGTGCCCTAGCTGTGACGCGAACTCTTCGGCCAGGACAGGCTCATCGAGACTGTGGATGCATGTTCCAGTGGAAGCATGCAACCAGGGTTTCTTGACCTGACTCAACTCAGTGTTCTGTTTTTTTCTGACTGAAGGCGCTTGTCTGTGGAAGTTAAATTCTTCCGCGAAGAGAATCAACAGGATCCATCGAGCTTCTGTGAAGCTTTTGGCTGACTATGAACATGGAAGGAACAGCTTGGCCAAGGACTTGTGTGTGTGGTGCCCTGGCCAACCGTCAAGACTGTCAGCCGTACAGAGTTCCGCCCTCAGCGGTACTTCACGAAGCCAATCTCCTCAGCCTTCTCACGGAACTCCTTCCGCCCGCACTCCAAAATGCAACAAAGTTATGTCAGGGGCTGTCTTCTCTAAAGAACTACACATCTTGCGAACACCGGTTATTGTCCGCGTAGATTTACCCAAACAATCACCAAGCACTCATAAGGACTCCCACCTCATCCCACCCCTATCATCCTCAGTCCACCATCCTCTATCGTTTTCGCCCTTCTCTCCTGGCGCTTCATCATGATACCATACTTCCGGATCAGCGCCATGCCACCCGGCCGCCCGGACACGCGCGAGGAGCGTAGGCCCTTGCTGCCCGGCAGGCCTCGCACCGGCGCGGAGAAGGGATGCTTCTGCGGCTGCGCGCCGTGGCCACCACGAGGGCCACCACCGGTGCCGCCCACACCGCCCAGCAAGGCGCTATGACCAGCCGTGAAGAAGACTTGGATGGGCAAGTCACCTCCAGCGAGAAGAATTGAGAGTGCCTTCTGAGAAGGAAAGCATGAAAAGAAGGAGAATTCCATGGTGAAATTACGAGAGAATCGTTCAATTTGCATGCTGTTTGAAAGCAAGATCTTGCTTGATATTCAACGACTCCGAGACTGCCCCCGGATCTTCCCCGGCCTTTGTAGCACTCCAAGGTGTCCCAATCCTTAAGCTGTCGGCTGTTGTAGATCAGCCGCATGTGCTCCGGCTCGATGTTGCACGCCATGTGCGCCATCTTCTTCACGTCACGGACCTTTGCATCTTTCTCCAACTCCAACTGGAAATTCTTCAAGCCGGCCACCTGTCATTTTCTGCCAACAAGCTCTCTAAAAACCAAAAAGAACTAAGTCAGTTCTGGCCGAAGCAAAAAAAAAGTGGTGGATCGTGGGTCGAATCTGATCGAACACCTCCTCTATCCCCGAAAGCCGTGAAGAAAAGACGGGCGGACGGAGGCACGACGGCTCCTCACAAACGGATGACTAGGCGACTGGGCTCCTCAGTCAGTCATTGCACTCCTCCCCTCATTCAAATATGGAGGACTCTTCAAAACAAAAAACGTATTTGACGTTCGTTCGTCCCCCCAAAGAAAAGAACAAGACGGGAGGCTCTGGCGCTTGGTTCAGCTTATTTTAAGGACACATATGCTACACTGGCTACGCTCCAAGAGCAACAAACTACAGAGCAAACTCGGTCTTCCCCCCCATGGTGGTGAAGTCTATACTTTAAAGTTTTTAGCACGCTGCACACCTTGAATTCGACCATCATGGATTCCTTGGTCTCAGGCTCCTTCAAGGTCAAATCACTCATGGCCTCCACGAGAGTTGCTGCCATGGACCTCACAAAGGGACGAAAAGGTGCAGACAGGGAGAATTCTCAGACCTGTGACCTGCTGGTCTGGGGTCGTTCCGCTAGAATCAAAGCAACATGGGGTACCACAATGCTAGACCCCCTGACATGCTGTTCTTCATGGTTGTTGTCTGGGCTACTCATTCGCTTGTTCACTCTTAATTGGAAGGCAACCAACCCAGCAGCAGAAGCCAAGAATGACTGCTGCTACCTACCTGAGGCAGGCACTCACTGGCTACGGCTTCAGGCTTTCACTCTTTGAATTGAGCCCCTCAAGGGGTGTTTGAGCTTCAAGAGTCGCGGATACAACACATGCCATCCAGTTGTCCGTGGTGCTCCTTTGGACTTCCAACCTCTTCAAGACGGTCTTCTTGTCCGATTAGGGCTTCCCCCCAAGTCGAATATGATGAAAGTTAGATGCCTCTCGGGCCTTGGGCTGGCTGTGGGCCCGAGAGGCTCAGTCGTGTTTTTCCCTTCCTTCGGGCCTTTTCATGGATTCCTAGATTTCATGGGAGGTTGACCAAGGTGATATGGCTGTGGGTCTTCAGAACAGGACAATGAACTAATGGTCGGTTGATCTACAGTAAATTCATGTAAATTCTGTCCTTGTTTATTGGCTTCTTTTTCAACCCACATCTCTGGAACCGCCAGAACTGCGACTGTTGCAGCCCTCCAAGGCAGCGGCTGGGAGGCCTTGGCGAAAAAAGCAAGAGACTCCCTGCACTTCTCGCAGAAACACGTTGAAAGAACGGGTGATGCTTTGACTCCGCCAAAAAGAGGACAGCAAATCAACATATGTGGTTTGGGTTGCTTAGTTAGACTTGCTGTTCGGGCAACGAAGTCACCCCAGGCAGGGACGTGCCAATTGACTTCACATCATGTTCGGAAGCGATCCTGAAATTGCGTTCGGAAGCGACCCCCTCACCTCAGAACGGCCCTCTAGATTCAGGATCAATGAGGGTCATTGTGATTCCTGGTCTCTTCTTCAACAAGAAAACTTCAGTAAAAGGAAAAGTCAGTAGATAGACAAACCATGACAATCCCATGATAAGCAATGACACCCTCGGCCAGAAAAAAAGAAAACAGCAACATTGCAAAACCACGGAGACAAAACAGGAAAAACATGGAAAAACAACACGCAACAAATCCAGTTTGCACCAAGAAAAAGGCCAACATCGCTCGTCACTCCTCCCCAGCCGAGGCCAAGCTCCTTCCCGTTCTGGGGCACGTCTCGTCTAAGTCCAGGGCGTCTCGGTCCCAGGGTCCACAGACTCTTCCATCGACCGGTGAAGACGGAGGAATGGGAATTGGGTTTGGCTGGAGAAGATGCTATTCCTGGGAAGATCTTTCATGGAAGTGCAGTTAGGAAGTGCAGTTGGGCAGTTGGACTCGGTGTGATTGTTGCCAATCGAGACGGGTCTGCAAGTTGTCTGTGGTCGTTCCAGGTCAGCAACACTGGTGAAAAGCTGCCTTTCGGACTTCCTGATGGCCAAAAGTAAGAATGCTGCTGCTAGATTGCATCTGCATCTTCTATTCTAGCTGTGTTCTGCAAGTAGTGGGTACTGGGTCGGCAAGCATGCTTGATGTTGTCCCAACGCTTACATCTGAGCCAAAAGCTGGTGAAGCAAAGCCGCCGAGCACCGAATCTGGTCGCTGCCGAGCACCGACACACAGAAACACAGCGATGATGTTTTCTCGTTGGGTGAGAGGCAATTGGACTATGTACACATCGAGGCCATCGAGACCAATCATTTGGACCTGTCACATTGGATTGCCCGTCCTGTAGGACCGTGAGACCGTGACCGTCCACAGCTTTATGTGGAGAATCCGTGGTCTATCGTTTTTGGATCGCTGCTCAGACAGGGTGCTGATGAGAGTCCTACCATCCACTCAGACGGGATCATGCGAATTTTGGTTCGTTCTTCAACTCATCTGCAACTGTTTTTGTTGGGGCCTCATAGCCAACAAATAATGTAGCGCTTGGGGTCAAGCCAGCATCCTGCAAAGTCCTTGGTGTCAGAACTGTGAGGATATAAGGCCAAACGGTGTGTGAGAAGAGAGAATTGTCGGCTCGGGGTTCAAGAAGATAGGAGACAGTCATCACTGAATAGGGTAAAAAGGTAAAACGGTGCAATCAAAGTTGGAAAAGGTGACGAAGAGCATCCCATTTTGATATGCGGAAGAACGAGTGAAAGTGCAGAAAATGCTTCACACCTCAGAGAAAAAGCACACTAGATGAATTAGGAAGTTGAAGAAACAGGTGGCCGGCTCAGTTTAAAGGAACTGACTGGGGTCCATCCATCACTGCCAAGACAATGGTGGGCTTTCCAAGCGAAAGTCCTGCTGAGCAAACATCAAACATCCATATACTAGGAACAAGAAGCTACCAGGGGCTTACTACTAGGGGCAAGAAGCTACTAGGGGCTCCTGGCATCGCTACTAGGAACAAGGACGCTCCTGGCCTTACTACTAGGAGCAAGAATGCTACTAGGAACAAGAAAATACTACAGTAGGGGCTCCTGGACACACGGAGGTGGAGACCCCCAACTGTTCTCCACCCTGCGAACCGCTTGGCTCGAAAAGCTATACAGATGGCAGGCGGTCTGGGGGACCGGCAGCTCTGCCTGGAGAAAGCGATACCGATGGAAAGATGAGCACGATCAAATGTGGGCCAGACTCCGAACAGGAGTCTGCACGTTTGGACAGTGCCAATTCGGAGCAACCGAAGAGAAATGAAAGAAGAGCTTCACCTTCTCGTGATTTCCTGACCACTTCGAGTTTCGGGCTCCGAAAAAGCTGTATCAACTCCTTCGGCCAAAGCGACGGACCAACGGACCAGCATTCCAACACGCGGACCATCCGGTACATCAATCAGGCTTGACACTTGACGTCAAAAACAATAACCTCCAGAGGGTGGCACGAACCGATGTGAACTCGCAGAGTCCACAGATCTCAAGACTTGTGCGAAACATCTCATGTCATTCAGTTTCTGCGAAACTCCAGGAATTCCACTGGGAGAATTTGGGAACAATATGTATGAAATCAAGTTTGGAATGGGATGGGCCCCAAGAGTTTGATCACGTTTCTCATTCCGTGGCGAGTCGGAGGGTGGAAACCCTTGTTGAACCCCCAAAAAACTTTATCATTTACAACTCTCCCTGTAGCTTCTCATCCATCACATTGCTCTCTCTGACCGGAATCGGCGCAGCGATCCGCCTCACGCAGCTGGCAGGGCCTCAGTCGAAGACACTGAACTTCTATGGATGAACTGAACTGATCTGAACTGTTGAAGCAGCGACATTACCAGGTTACCAGGAACAAAACAGGCATCCTGTTCTGGCATGGCAACCTTTGCCAAAGAGTCCTCACGGTGAGGGAAGTGTCAATATGACTTGATTTCAACCAGATCGGTCTGCAAAACTAGGGGCCCAATGAAATAACCCAACAAAAAGCTGCATGCATCTATACATGCACTGCCCCTTGCCCGAGTCTAGCCCTTCCACCAATACCAGGAAAATCAATCCCTCATCCCTCATAATTGCTTATTTCAGTCTGGATAGTCTTGTGTCAATGTTCCTTTCGGTTCTTTGTCGCAATGTATAAACTCTGGCATTTGTCGGCTGGGGAAACCTTGCAGCTCCGTGGGAGAGGTTTCAACCAAGGTTCAACAGGAACGATCTTGGATGGTCGGCTCGTCCACTGACTCTCCTGACGTTCCTTGTGTCTTTGAAATATCAAGCAGTTGATCAGGTCATGAGTCATCAGATTTCAAGATCAGTCGTTTCTTTGCAGCATGGGAAGCGGCAGCCCTCTCTTTTTGGCCTGTGCACCCTGGAAGCCTGGTGAGACCAAATGAAACTGCCGAGCTTTTCAAGGGCTGACCTCAATTGCAGTGCAAGTGCTGAGATGGTGGTTGTGGTGTTTCATCCAGTTTCATCATGAGATCCAATACTGCTTCCAACACATCCTAATCATCGATGCCAGGGTTCATCTGTTTGATCCCGCAAGTACGATGCAACATTGCAGATTCATTGCGTGGACGAAGCAACACCAATCTGCTGGAAAGTGTGGCAAATTTCATGTTGTCCACTCAGATTCAACAAGAAAAAAGACCCCTAGTCAAAGGAAACCGGAGTTGTGGCTTATTCATAGCCGGTGCGCAACATCCTTCCGTTACTCTTAAGCGGCTCATGTTCTGTCGAAGGCAAAAGCCATTCAAAACAATCCTCTTATCTCAAATTAGCCAAGTAAATGATGCCCACTTAAATATAATTCCAACTAATTATATAAGCAGCAATTCAATACTTGCAGGCATGGCACACATTGAACCCCAAAATGACAAACCAGGGGTTAGCCGGTTAGCCCTGGACGTCCTGATCCCTCCTGGTTGCCCTGGAACCGATTCTTGGAACCTTTCACTGGTTGTGATCACCCCGTGATGATAGGTTCAGTCCGTCTTTTCGCAGATTGCTGATGATCTTTTTTTGGTTGTTGGGTGATTTGGGCGGCTTCGGAAAAAACCAACAGGTAACACCACCCTCTCAGCAGTCTCCGGTGTTCCAGCCTCATGGTTTTGGCCCCATGGTCAAACCACTTGCCCAAAGTATCACAGAACACCACCCTGCTGCTTCCACCCAATAGAATACAGTACACGCTGCGTCAAACATCAACAACAATTGAACATCCGCACTTCTAAACAGTTTAGCCCTCAGCCAGCCCTTTTCTCTGTCAACGACATGGCACATGTTCTGTGGCAGGCTCATCCGGCACTTTTGCTCTGGCCTGGCAGCAAACATGTCTTGACGACCTGTCGTGATAGGATCTCTGGCTGCCTGCACTCACACTCAGACCCATTATTTCCAGCATCCTCCTGCACCACTCTGACCAATTAAATATTAAAGGTCTCACTCTACTTTCTCTATCCAATGACTGTTGAGCTCTGTAAAAACAATGACGTCTGGAGGCATGACTCGGCATGACCCTGTTTCACCCGAGCAAAAGCAGGGGTACACAGTCCGTCCCGAAGTCCTGAAGTCAGAGTTCACGCATCCAACCTGCAACTCCCACAAGGTCCTATTCTTCATGACTCTTGCAAAAGGCAGGAAATGGCATGGAGGTTTTACCACCAGAATCAGAAATACTGGGTGGGTAAAAATACATAAAAATACTGGGTGGGTAAAAGATTCATGTTAATTTTGTGGAAGTTTGGCCTGTGACAATCGCTTCACGCTCATTGAAGCCCTCCTGATGGTGGAAGATTTGTAAGCCATCTCCACACTTCCAAACAAATAGGGTTGTGCCGTAGGTTTGACTTCTCCCTCCAGAATCTGCACCCACCCCGGCACCTCTGCAGCAGCTCGATTTGCCTTGCATTGCTCCTTGATTCCCTCCAGCACCTCAGCCACACCGAACCTCGCTCCGGGAACGAGGCCACAAAACCATACCCTGGGCCGCGCCTGGCCCTTTACATCATGGTGCCTCCAGGGATTAACTTCAAGGTTGATGTCAAGGATGGCGTCGTTCTGCTGCACTGAATCAGCCAGCGCCTGAGCGATTTCAGAGCCCAGCGAAATCGATCGGGCAGGGCGAGGCTCCCAGGCCTGGCCTTGGCACCGACCAGGCCGATTTCATTGCATGAAAGGTTGATGTGGGTAATGCAGCGGTTGTGCCTCAGCACCTCAGACAAAGCCTGGCATCAAAGTGACATGGAGGGAGAACAACCAGCTCATCGCAAAAGAATTGAGAAGGTTCCATGGCCTGTGCCCCAGCATCTTGGATTAGATTTTGTTCCAGGTTGATGCGGGTGACACTCTTGTTGATCTTCAGCGCTTTTGAGAGCGCCTCGCAGCGCCATGGACATGACTCAACGACGAAGAACGAAAGCGTTTTGTCGAGACGCACCTGGACTTGGGCATCCCGGATGAAGTGGTTCCGAAGATTGATCTCCGTCTTGGCCCCGGTTTTCAGCTCTTCCACAAGTTTCTGGCCGCCCGACCCAGTTCAGCCACCGAATCTCTCTAAGTAGCAGAAAATGTGTACTTGTTATCTGAAACGCGAAAGACTCAAAAAGATAACACATCCAATGGAAGCCCTTGACAGCAGCAACTCTTTGGCGGATCAGATCATCATCAAACTCAATCCCTGGTAGCTACGCACCCCCTGCAGCCAGTGAATGCCCTTTCTCGATGCTTTAAACCGTACGTGCCATGTCGCCCTGGCCCCGACAACAACATATTGACATACGGCCAAAATCACTTTGCAGGTTCTTGACAAGTTCTTGAAATTCACGACCGCTCTTTACTAAATTGGTCATCAAGGTTTTTTGGCGGTTGCTCATCGGTCCTGAGATTTTGTTGTTTGCGCTCCACATCTTGGTCGAAACTCATGACTTGATGACAAATTGATGGTTTGTCACGTCCGAGCACTCGAAGAGAACACCCTGAGGCCTTAAAAGCAGCAGCTGCCTGTACCTTGTGACATTCGCTGCGAGCACTTTCGAATCCAGACGGGGGACGACGATGGGGCCAGTGGGCTTGGATGTCTAAAGGCCAACCCGTCCGATTTCACGTGCGCGTCCTTGCTCCTAGAAGTAAGGCCAGGAGCCCCAAGCAAATCTACATCATCTGAAAACACATGTGATTTGCTCCACCCAAACTGCATCTTGCCTCGACAAAGTGTTAAGACAGCAGTACAAAGTCCACATACCCCCCGAAGTTAACGCTGTCTTCTACCTCCAATTCCTAGCATATGGATGTACAGCGAAAGTCTTCCAAACGACCATGAATTGGGTTTTGTGACTTCAACTACTAGGTTGGTGGGCCAAGCAACATTTCTAGACATGTCTTTGCAACCTTGCCTTGTGATGAACACTTCAGATTCCCGATTCTGAGCCATCATCTCCAATGGAACACAAGTCCACGTACGGGGGTTCCCGCTTGGACCTGGAAACTTCTCCACCCCGCTAAATCCACAGCCAACCCCTGCGGCACCTCTTGGTTTGCCCTGCTCCACTTCTCAATTCGATACCACACCTCGGCCAGGCGCCAACCCCGCTCCGGGAACGAGGCCGCAAGACTGCAAGACCATACCCTGGCCCGTGCCTCCTGTGCTCCGTCCATTCGTGTCCAAGGATTCGCACTAAGGTTGATGTTAAGGATGGTCTTGTTCTTCTGCATGGTGTTGGCCAGGGCCTGAGCGATTTCAGAGCCCAGCGAAATCGATCGGGACAGGGCGAGGCTCCCAGGCCTGGCCTTGGCACCGACCAGGCCGATTTCATTGCATGAAAGGTTGATGTGGGTAATGCAGCGGTTGTGCCTCAGCACCTCAGACAAAGCCTGGCATCAAAGTGACATGGAGGGAGAACAACCAGCTCATCGCAAAAGAATTGAGAAGGTTCCATGGCCTGTGCCCCAGCATCTTGGATTAGATTTTGTTCCAGGTTGATGCGGGTGACACTCTTGTTGATCTTCAGCGCTTTTGAGAGCGCCTCGCAGCGCCATGGACATGACTCAACGACGAAGAACGAAAGCGTCTCTTGAGACGCACCTGGACGTGGGCATCCCCGATGAAGTGGTTCCGAAGATTGATCTCCGTCTTGGCCCCGGTTTTCAGCTCTTCCACAAGTTTCTGGCCGCCAGCCGACCCAGTTCAGCCCCCGAATCTCCACAGGTAGAATTTTGAGCATCGTGAGGTTTCATGTCCCATGATTCATCTGACCCTCAAAAGTCGCTCTAGATCTGCTGAAATGATTTTCCCAGTAGTGTGCCAATTCATTTCAATCCTCATGATGTGCGACAGGGCTAGTTCATCGAGGCCAGGCTCGTACCAAAGTTTCCTCCAGAATCTCGAAAGGCGCCCCACAGAGGGTTTTGCTCATCGCCCCACACCTTGATACCAACACAGCTTCAAAGCCTGGAGGATCTAATAGAAATGGGGATCAATTGCAGGGAAATGCAATTAAATCCGCCAGAATCCTTTACAGCATCAACTTTGTGGGTGATCGTTTGGTGATTGAGAGCAAAGAGATCATCATGATCCAAATGGGATCTCCATTGGCTGTGCAAGCACACAGGGCCAGCGAATGCCAATGAATCTTGATTCGGAGCCCTGCGCTCAACAAACCATGTCCAAGATAAGAAACCTGCATTGTATGTACCTATATTGTATTTTATATATTGATATATAGCCTGACACATCTTTTGGTTGACCCAAATGCAAATAGATATTGGCTCATGCTTCATCTCGGTTAATAACTGATGATTTGATGACATCTGCTAGTTTGCATGTCCCAGAAGTTCCCAGAAGCCACTGAGCCCCGAGGCCTTAATGTCAGCAGTTGCCCTTGCCTGGCTCGACGTTTTCGGCTGCGAGCCCGCTCGAACCGACCTACGGACACACCATAATACTGTGATCAAAGCGAAGACCGGACACAAACACTTTGAACCCAAAAGGTGAAGACCACTGGTTGGACAGGGACTGGTTCGATGTGCTCGCCCCAGTTGACCGATCGAAGCAGCATTTCACTTGGATTTTTTCGAGGCGTTCGAAGTACATTCAATACAATTATTGTGAATTCAGGTCAAATACTTACTGTACCTTTTTAAATGCTGTATGAACACATGAAAATGCTGCAACAACAAGGAGTTCAAATTTTATCCCCCAAAATTGCAGGCTGGGAGATACCAGTCGTTGCTGTAGAAAAAATATTATTGGAATGTCTTGAAATCTTGCTCCTGGAAAAATCACAACAGGTTCAACAGCCGTTACTAATGAACAGCTCTTGAGCCATCTCTTCACACTTTTCCGAAAGGATGGTTGACACTTCCAAGGGGCTACTACCCCGTCCCGCCTTTAGACTTTGGGAATGTGGAGGCTTATTCACCTGTAATAGAGTGCAGTTGCCATTCAGTAATGACCTGATATTTACAGTAAAGGATATTGCCCAAAGAACCGTCCTTGGAAGATCCATGGCCCTTGAATGTCCTCAATATGCGTCAATCGCCTGACCTAACAGTATCGATGATACACACCAAATGCTCACCTACACTTGTGATGTACATATTTTGGTCTTGGTGCGTGCGTGGTCCGGTTTCCCAACTTCTCCCCAACAAAGCAGCACCGCACCGCGCCGCGCTGCCTCTCGATTGGCCTCGCAACGCTTTTTGATTCGGTCCAATGCCTCGGTTGATGGAACGACACGGACGACCACGGGCGCGGACGACGACGCGATGCCGACGCGCCTGGCGCCCTTCGTCCGTTTCCTCGAAGGGATTGGGGGAAAGGAGTCGCCGAGGGTGATATTCAATTTCGCGAAGAGAAATCTCAAGGATGGCGTCGTTCTCCTGCAGTGCCTCAGCCAGCACCTGGCCGATTGACATGCGGGGTTCAAGAAACAAGAAACCGTCCATTTTCTGGAAGGCAGCATGACAGCATGGCCTGGATACCGTCAGAGCCGATTTGATTGGCATGCAGGTTGATGTTGGTGATGCTGCGGTTCTGTTTCAGCATCTGTGCCAGGGCCTGACAGTGGAATGACATGAGGCAAAACAAATGGCACATCCCGGTGGCAGGCAGCACGGCCTCCGTGCCGGCATCGCCAATTTGATTTCCCCCAAGGTAAACGTGCGTAATGTTAAGGTTCACTGTCAGCATCTGAGCCAACGCCTGGCATTGGGTGGAGCGATACGACGCCATCACCAGGTTAGTAAGCTTGACAAACGGAGGGCGACAATAGGCATCGGTGACACCTTTGCACCGATGTAGGTGATGTTGTTCTTGGTAAGGTTGACGTCGGTGACGCTGCGGTTGTGTTGCAGGGCTTCAATCAACACCTGGCACAGGTGTCGCTTGCGATGAGATGCGGCCGACGTCCCTCCTCGGGGCCTGGATGACGGCGTCCCCAAGGTTTGCGTTAAAGACACTGAGCTTGCTCAGGGTGCCACCATGCGTCAATTTGTCGGCCAAAGCCTTTGGCTGTTCACCGTGAACCACGCACAGCGATCCAGCTTTCTGGATGGATTTGTGCAAGTTTTTTTCAGGTCTCATGCGACTCATGTGTCACCTTCTGCCGTGAGTGATGTATTTCCAGCTTGAATCGGAGTCTCACACAAGCAACTCGGCAACAAACATCAGTGTGGTTTCAAAGTCCTGGATGCGCAGGCGTCCAGGAAATTTGTCTGCACGGCCATCTGCACGGTGATCTCCCCTGATTCTGCTCCTCTTGGCCTCAGCAGCCTGCAACAAATGTGAACGCAGCGCTGAAATGATGCTCTGCAATCATGAAACTAGGGTGGTCATCAGGATCTAGTCATCTAGTCCACAGCCGATGCCTAATTACATGCCTGCCTCTGCAGTTTCTACAGCAAAGGCAAGAACCACTACACTCAAAACAGCATCTTGTAGCCCTACCTTCAAAAGGCACACCGCACCCGACAGCCTCTGCAGCTGCTCTGTTTCCCTCAAGGCGTTCTTCAAGTAACCGTATTGCCTCGTGCAACTTTGCAGTCAAACAAGCGGTCACAGAAGCCAACAAACGCGCACACACACACACAAAGTGAGTCCGAGGCCTGCTTCCCCACATCAGAATCAATACCCTGATTGTACCTAAGGTCGAGGTCGGTCACTGTGGTGTTGTAGGCCATGGCATCAGCGACTGCCTGGTGGAGGGGGTGGGCACCCTTCCATTCCCAGCGGCAAAATACGTGTCCATTAGCTTTAGTGTGAAACGCGCGCTGTGCATGTGAGTTCAAACGTCGCAAACCATCTTGTCCGCAGAGGGTCAACAGCAGTTGTGCATTCGTGCACTCCCTAATTCGCTCGCGGTGTCTGGCTTCGTTCCTTTTGCTCTGGTTCGTTGCACTACACCCTACAAGTCAGAGGGCTTCATCTACCACTGACTTCACCGGTAGCAGAGCCCGATCCATTTGGGTGAGGGCTCCTGCGCACTTCGCTGGCTTCGGAGCTGGGCGTTTGGAACAAGGTCTCGGTGCCTTCCCTTTGTCGGTCTCTTTGCGATCCTGTTTGCTGAGTTCTTTACTTGACACCCTACGTCCAGTTCGATGGTGTCCAAAGAACAGACGGCCTATGCGGAGTCTGCGTGATTCGTTTGCGCCCCTATGTCTTCATCCATCGTGGGGCACCTGTCGTATCCTGTGAGCATGGTCGATCCGGCCACGCGTTCACAACAACTTACCTCAAATCGGAGAGCAGGTGACTATGTCAAATCGCTGGAGCGTGCATGGGTGGCCCACTTTCGAGCACGACAATTGACCCCGGCTTGGCCGTGTTTTTGAAGAGTGGGCCGCTGCACAGCACACTGGCCCTGGCTGAAGCCCACAAGCGCCTCACCATTGTGGAACGGCGCCCTGCGGAAGTCGGTTGAGATCTGGCAGCTGGCATCCGTGAAGGAAAGCTTGCAGAACCATCTAGTTGTGGCATTCATGTTCAAACAAAGGAGAAGTCAAGTGGGTACGTTGACAAGGGAGATTCTATGGCAAGGCTTCTTAGTTACACAAGAAGGTGAAGCAACCCAAGATTTGACGCGAAAAATTGTTTGCAAGCCTCTGAATAAACGAGCACCTTCTTTCATTGAGACATTGGTCTTTTGCTTTGTCCATCTTTGCATGTTAAAGGCGCCACTCCTTCCCTCCCTCCTTGTTTCCTTCCCTCTGGACGTTGCAGAGAGCACCAGCTGAAGCTGGGCGCGGGGTAGCCTCTGCGACCCAGCTGTGGAGAACATTGCAACGCCAGTTGACCTTCACCGCAGGGGCCTCCAGCTCAGTCTGGGGCGGCGTGCCCAACACATGCCCTTCAGAATTTGCCCAGAACTGAGCTTGAACTTGCCAGGCGAGCCAATCAATGCAATCTTCCCTTGCTTTTTTTAAAATCCTGATTACGCCCAAATCTTCTCAATGAATTTGCTTAAAGCATCTCTGCACTCCTATGAAAATCCTAAAGGCCTCCCAGGCAAGCTTACAAGTTTGGCAGTGGAGACACATGAATGTTTAATGTTCATAAAACACATAGAACATGCTGATCTACAGAGCTCCGCGTGTAGACAGTCAATATCAATTATATAGAAGCATTCCTTTGGCTCCAAGACAAACGCAAGGATCCAGGTTTTTTTGCATCCCAATTGCCTTAACGTAGGCCGCTGGTCTCTGTAAAAAGACTATAAAAATCCTGGGTTCACAAGGCATACCAACAATGGCCACCAAAACATACCAAAATCCTCTCTATAAAATGCTGAATCTGCAAAAAGGATCACACTCTATAAAATGAGGGTCCAAAAGGCACTTTATAGTGTCAAATGATCGTCATATTATACAGGACCAAGCACGGAAGATCTTGAGGATACATATTGACAACATGGAGTTGCTGCTACTGGGACGTGAAATGATCTCAATTAAAGGAACAATCTAATAAGGTTTATCTATAGTATTTGAGGCTTGTTGGATGCAAGGGTGAAACCAATTTCATCAATATGAAAGCTGATGCTGCACTAGCTATAACTCATAATGGAAGTTACCATCTACCAAATTGGATGTGCCTGATATTGCAAATAAAATGATCCTAGACTCTTGGCGGCAATATCAAAGCTGTCAAGCAGTCTGAAGTGATTGGCAGCAAACAAGCAATTAAGGCTGCTCAGATGCACACGTCAATGGTATGGTTGCATTATGTTGTCTTAACGTTGCAAACACCCTCTGAATCTTCTGATATCTTGGCACATTCTCAGAGTGGTCAAGTCAAAACGTTGATGGATAATGATAGACATGTTCATTGATAAAATCCTAAAGTTTAGATTGTTCGGCTCTAAACTCATACATACTTGTTACTGATGGCAATGAAGAACATCTACACTAAATAAATGCGCAGTATAGTTTCAACGCGGGCAGCAGGTATAGTAATATAGTTTCATATTGTTCACATGTGTGTCACTGTATACTCACCAAGAACCATGCAGGAATTGCGGCCTTCACGCCCTCGTCTGTGATCTGATTACCCTTCAGGTTGATCCTGGTGAGCGTCCTGTTAGTCTTCAAGACTTCTGCGATGACCTGCCAATGGCACCACTTTCAGGACCATCCCAGTACCTCAACTAACTCCGCTGGCCATTAGGCCGGGCCTCCCGTCTCTTAGCCAGGCCTCAGCGAGCCGATTGCCCATGTGACAGGACTCGAAGCTGAGCTCGATCATCGAGGCGAAGGTGGCGACATCGAGTGAGCCGACATCGAGTGCCTCGGTCAGGCCACCGCTTTGCATCGTGCCGAGGGCTCCAAGTTTCGACGGTCGACGGAACGTGGTGAAGCAACCACGTGCCGAAGCGCCATCCTCGCATAGGTCAGACTCAGCTTCTCCAGCTTCATGGAGCTAAGCACCTTTGAAATGGCCCCATGAAATCATCAAATGGAAAAGAAACGCGCAAACAATGCGCAAAGAAATGCTATTAACGAACTTTGCATACCGTGCTCTTTCTTTTAAGACTTGGCCAGCCTCGAAAAAGGCCTTGGCCTCCGCTTCACCGGCTTGGAAGATGTAGATGTCCAACACTTTGAGCTGCGGGAAGTAAGGCAGTGAAGCGGCCAGCTCAACCATGTCGGCTTGGGTCAAGTGCTCCAGCTTCAAATGCTTTCTCACGGTGACTTTTTGGTGAAAGATCTTCCTTTGAAGATCAACAACGGTTGACGCATCGTTGCGATGCGTAAAGGCCGATGTGGTCATGCGCTTTCCAAACACTTCGGGCGCTGTGGGCACCATCTTTACAGTGACCTCTTTGCCGGGCTCACCATCGATCGCAATATTCTGGGCTGGAATGCCCCGTGCTGCAGACCATTCGATCTCGGCGCGGCACCAGCCGCGATCCAGGTAAAAAGCAAAATTTTCCATCAGCTCACTGAGTGGAACCCATGCAATCGAATTGCTCGGCAAATGGTAAATCGGCACCTTGTACGTTGAATCCTCTTTCCTAGCAGTCCAGGTATCAGCAGGTGTGAGACATTCCAGGCGGAATGTCAGAGTGCTCTGATGAGCGTACATCATGTGCATATTGGACATCGCTCGCCGGAAACTCGCCTCTTGCTCAGCTGTGTCGCGTTGGAATTGATACAAAGACACATAATCGTAAAACAACCAAACGTCGTCGACAAACGCAGCATCCCACAACGCTACACTGTCCACAAGATTCTGCAATTGAAAGTTGCAGGGATCCGGGTGCTCCCTTGATTCCCATGCGTGAGACACTGAGCACACTAACGCATCACGTCGACCCAAAGCCCATTCGGCCACTTCCTCGTGCGAGACCAATGCCGAGACCTTCTCGCCGTTCACCTCGCAGCTGTCGTGCTCCGCCTCTTGGCGCCGCGGCATGCATCTATTTGACTGGAGCAACTTGTAGAAGTACCTGGATGCCAAGTGGCACATGCTCTGCAAAAAAATGTCAGAAATACAGCCAAAGTCAATGATCTGCACAGACTGACACATCAGCGGGGTGTGGGGCACGGAGCCCTCACCAGACGAACGTCTGCATCGAGCAGGTATTTTGCCAAAGACTTTGGATCTTCCAAGTCATAGATGGGGACCTGCCAATTCAGAGTGCAAGCTCCAGAAAGAAAACGATCCGTACCAAGGAACACCAAAAACATCGAAGAAAAAATAGAAGCGTCATATCATGACCTTGCTGCTCAGTGAAGCTCAGCATTCAGAACCACAACCCTGCAGATCCAAGCTGGTGCAAGACCCAAGGCCTCGGGCCACAAAATGAAGGGAACGATGTAGCTGTACTCGAATCCTCGGCCTTGGAATCAGAGTTGTGCACCGCAATGCTCGGCTACGACAGTTGCAAATAGCTAGCAGGCAAGCAGGTTGTCAATGGAACGTGTTCAACACTGGAAGATGACATGCCCTGTGACCTGTCTATCCATATTTTGTATATATGGTTTCTGGTCTACCAACTCGTCTCGAATGTTGAAAAAGGTGTCCGACATCTCTGCCCATCTGCCCTTGAGTGCACATGAGTGGCTGTTGCAGTCTTCATTGCAAACAGTGAGACAAGAAACATCAAATGCCAAGCAGCTATTGGAGGGTGCACCTTTCAGTATCTCCTCTACTGAAGCCATCAGCATTTTATGATGTTGCTTTCAATTGAATGTGCCAACTGGTCGTGCAAAAAGCACGAAGTGGGAAAGTCTCCTCCAACTTCTCTTCTGAGAGCCTGCTGCCTCAGCAAGCGACTCTTGGAAAAAATGTCTTTCTGATGAAGGCAAAGCCAACAAAAGTCTGATAGTCCGTTAAAGGATGGAGATGATTTGCTAACATGCGGGAAGTCTTGAAGGAAATCGTTTGTTTCTTATTATTCATAATATGTTGGCTTACAATTCATGGAAATACATTTTAAAGAATATGAGAATGAAGATAAAGGATCAATTCCCCATTAAAAAAGAAAAAACATATGAATTGCTTTTTTTCCAACTTTAGGTTTTGAATGTGTGGCAGGGAGGGTTCAACTTCGGTAGATTTATGTCTTGTGTCTTCTTATAAAATCCTTTAACGAAGTTCACACTATTTAAACATAAGATGTGTCTTTATAGCTGTTATTTTGGTTTATTGGTCTATATCTACATTTCTGTTTCTTCGGTCCTTATGTCATCCTAGTTGGTTTCCTGGTTTACAAGAATGAATCCTGATGATAGAGATACGAACGATAGACCAATAAAAAAGAAAAGCACTAAATTGCTAGATCTATTCTCATTTTCATTGGTGGTAATTAATTTTTCTACCTTATTTCCCTTTATATTATTTAGAAAACTTGAATGACATTGAATTATATATATATATTGGTTTATTGGATTCGAATGCTGGGGATATCGAGGCATAGCGGCATAACAAAGTTCGTGAACTTGTGGTGTCCAGTGCTGTTAGAGTCGCTGGGAATGACAGCACTGCACTTGTAGAAATCGATCTCCTTCGTAACCAGTCTAGCTCCCAAGTACCAACGTTGGCATTCGTATACATTCTACATCAGGGAAGATGAATGGAACATGAAAATTGACTTTTCGACGACGATATTCCTCTACAACCCGGTGGTTTTCAGGTTCCAGGTTAATCTTCCAGGGCGTAGACTCATGTTCAAGTTGTCCCTTGCAAGGGTTCAAGGGTCGGGCTGCAAAGCTGCACGATCGTGGCAATGGTCTGCCGTGGGAGAAAGCCTTAGAGCTTAAAGCGAAGCTGACCAAATCATCCACATCTGCACTCTGAACGGCAAATAATATCTATCAATAAGGCTTCCTCAAGCGGCAGTAAAACGCTCGGTATGGCAGTAAGCCCCTCGCGATTCATGACACTTTGGGATCAATTCCAAATTAATTGGAATCCACGAACATTCGTGCCTGCAGTTTTGTTGTGTTTGATTCACCTCCCAAATCAAACATGCCAAGACACCTGTCTTCTGCGGATCAAAGAGTTTTAAAAATCGGAGTGCATCCTCAACCTGTGTGCAGCTCATGACAGCTCACTTGCCTTGCTTGCAGCACAGTGAAACATCAGCTGATTTGGTGTTGGGGAGTACAGCAGAAGTCTCATTTCAGATTGGATACGAACCCACGCTCAATACACATTAATTGCATTGAAGGTCAATGCGGCTTGTACTGCCGACTTGTGAATTTTGTCATTTTCCTCAAGACTTTTGCACCACGCTGAATTGTCGGAAAGTGGGAAGACACTGTTTGACTTACCCAAAAGAGCTGCAGTGCACGAGGGAGCTTTGAGAGCTTAATGAAATCGGTGAATGCATGTTGATAGATCAAACGGCCAATCAATGGCACTTCTTCGAACAACTCATCGTTATTCAGTGAGTCTACTTTGCCATCGAATGGCTGCAATGCAATACAAATGCCAGTAGCTGTGAGATTGGTGCCAAAGTAGGCCAAAAGATCAAGTCGTAGCAGGGAGGTGTTGAACACAATAGACATACATTGGGTCTATCCTATTGCCTGTAACAGTGGATGATGATGGTTAGTAGAGGCCTTGTCCAGAAATAGTGATAATTGTTTAGTGACTGTTACAGGTGATAGGACAGACCCAAGACATACAGTCCAATCTATAGTGGCGCTCATAGCATGGAGCGGAGGTTTGGCAGGCTACAAATGTTGTCCTTGCTCAACAACAATTCTAGGTTTTTCCCGAGAGTGTGTTCTTTGTTCCAGATGTCGTTGCATGTTGAAAGGCCCCTTTTAGATCCTTTTGGTGCATGTGCAAATTGTGAATTTGGAAGTGTCTCTTCAATGCCCAGTTCCGACCTTCACGCTCTCTTCAGGTCGGTCCTCCTGGCGCAACCGGCGGGCGAAGGTCGGTCCCTTCAGTTCCCTTCGGTTGTTGCCCGCAGTAGACACACGACATGAGAGAGAAGCGGATACCGATGATGACTTCCAATCCCTTTTGGACCTTGACTCAGCAGTACAAAGAATGCGCTGCCTAGAATGCATCCGCTGCACCACCTACGACTCCGACAGATGCAACTCCGCTGGCTACCACCACCTCTCCTCGAGAGCATCAAAGCAAACGTGATCCTCCTGATGAATCTCACTGGCAAAAGGCAAAAGGAGTATGAACATTGTTTGACTACTTTTTGAACGAGCACAAAAACACTTCTCAGAAGCCTCCACAGGTTGGCAGAGACAAGAGCCCATGGAGCCCATGGCTCAGTCAGGCTCAGTCAGAGTGCCCTAATCCAAACCAATGCTGAGCCGAAAGGCCGTCATCGGATGAGTTGCGATCGCTGAAAAAGCACACCAAACGCATGAAAACACCTTCACTTGCTTATATAATTTAAGCCCACGTTCTCCAGAGTCCCTTGGCACCAAACTCCAAGTCTCTCATGACGAGAATCGTGTTGTCATGGGACCCTTCCAACCTTTGGACGACCACGTCTTTGACATTGGAATGGTGGCCCATGGTGAAGCAGCTGGCTGTTATACACAAAAACTGTTATTATGAGCTCGGGGAATACTCAAGGATCCTCAACCAGGCGCTACAGTACTCCATGATTTTCTATGAACCCTTAAGTTGAAACAACGAAACTCCTTTACAAGAAAGACCACACACAACCTTCCCTGTACCCTAAGAGTCCAAAATCATTCAAAAAAAATCATTTTATAAATATATATTTATATATATACAAAGGTCTTTAGGTGACCCAAAAAGGAACTTCCTTTACTTCAATGGATCAAAATATCGTCTTTGGACTCCTAGGGTGTAGCTGGGGTCGGGGCCTTCACATGCTGGGGTCGGAGCCTTCGGGGCCGAAGTGATCTGGCAGGGCGAAGGCGATGAACAGCCGACCAAATGAGGGACAGTCAGCATCCGTTGACCTGGCACCTTTGGGTGAAGAGTCCTGATGGTATCATTTGTGCGTTTCTGGCTTCCCTGATGGTAACGTTACGAGGGAAGCCTTCAAAATGATGAGATTTCTCTGCCACAACCCCGCTCTGCGCCGGGAACGAGGCCAAAGACCCGACCCGGCCAGGCCTGCCACCCGGCATCAGAGTCTCTAATCAAGTCAAGTTCGATGTAAAGGATGACACCATTCGCCTCCATTGCCTCGGATGGTAGGAGCCCAGCGAAGTCAAAGGAGCCCAGCCCAGTCGAAACCGGGGCAGGGCGGGGCACCGCCTGGCCTTGGCACTGACCGTGCCATGCTGCGGTTCTTCTTCAGTACCTCAGCCATGGCCTGGCATCGGAGTGACATGGAGGGAGAACAAACAGTCTATCACGAAAGGATCAAAAAGGGATCCATGGCCTGTGCTCCGGCATCTTTGATTTGATTCCATCTAAGGTGGATGTGGGTGATACTCTCGTTGATCTTCAGCGCTTCTGAGAGCGCGGAAACATGGTGACGAAGAACGAAGCGCGTCTCCAGAGGCACCCGGGCCTGGACTTGGGCATCCCCAATGTATATAGTTTCTCAAGATCGCTCTGCGTTTGGGCCCCGTCGGTCTTCAGCTCTTCCACCAGTTTCTGGCATTTGGGCACAAAGTGTATCTAAAAGCAGCGGAAAGTTTTACCTCATCCAAGGTGATTGGTGGTATCTTTAAAATCGACCATGGAACACGGTGAAAGCAAAAGACTTTAAAGGATCTGAATGAAGAAAGAAGCCCTTGACAGTAGGAACTGTATGGGTCTTCTATCTGTGTTCTGCAAGTAGTGGGTGCATGCTTGACGTTGTCCCAACGCTTAACATCTGAGCCAAAAGCTGAAGCAAAGCTGCTGTCGCTGCTTGTTGAATCTCGTCGCTGCCGAGCACCGAAACACAGAAACACAGCGACGATGTTTTCTCGTTGGGTGAGAGGCAATTGGACTATGTACACATGGAGACCATCATCTTTCAATCCTTTGGACCTTCCTTGGATTGCCCGTCCGTGACTCTGACCATGACTGTCCACAGCTTTATGTGGAGAATCCGTCGAGACCGTTTTGGATCACTGGGATCCTTCAAAAGGCATCGCTACTCAGACAGGGTGCTGATGAGAGTCCTACCATCCACTCAGACGGGATCACGCGAATTTTTTCGTTCTTCAATTCATCTGCAAGAGTATAGCTGTTTTTGTTGGGGGCCTCATAGCCAACAAATAATGTAGCGCTTGGGGTCAAGCCAGCATCCTGCAAAGTCCTTGGTGTCGACTTTGTTTACATTCGCTGGTAAAAACCATCGCGACACACCAGAATGAGCGGACAGGCTGAGGACCCATCTGCTTTCTGTCCTTAGTAACAAGGATCTGCAAACCAAATCCACAGTGTGCTTTGGCAACTCCCCGGTGAGTCATGGCAAAATGCATGTCCTTTTCTGTGCCTTGCAACTAAGCGGTCCACTGTATAGGACTTGGGTGGAAAAGCGGTCCTGTCATGGAAGGAACTCTCGGAGTCAGCAAAAAATCGTTCGTGGAGAGCAAACAAATGCCAGAAGAATCTGAAGTCTTTATAGCTTTTGTAGTGTGAATATTTCTTGAACAATTTTGTGTTTGACAACATCATGAAATGTCTAGCATGGCATTCGTGGGTCACGCACCCGCATTCCGCACTTTGGCCTTTGATGGTTCACCTGAATGGGCTCTTGAGCGTCGTCAGAGGCATTCTTGGTGTCTCACCCTCCATGTTGAACCTTCTACATTCAAATGAAAGGCAGCACGTCGATGAGTTTGCTTCCCCATTTCCTGCATCCTGTCTTCCCCGCCGCAGAAACGCCCCGCGCGTTCCCGGCATTCGTCGCGTGCCTCAGCACAGCTCCAGGTCGGGTTCGCCCCACCTTCTGCTTCGACCGCCAGTCTGCCAGGGCTTCCCTGTCGGAAATGAGCAAACCGCCCTACCGCCGCGTCGGAACAGAAATGGCCGAAAGCCAAAGGCCGACGTTTTGAGCACAAAACAGTGTTCTTTCTGAAAGGAATACGTTTGCAACCGTCCATTAACAAGAGGTTCGTCGATGCAAACCAGCAAGTTAAATCTGTATAGGCAAACGGAGAAGTGTGAAGAGCCCCTGATTGCCTTGCACTCCTGCTCGCATGCTCGTCGTGCGTCTTTGCAGCCAAAGGACCACAAATCACCGATGGTCGCGTCAAACTCCATCTTCAGAAGGACTTTCTGTCCACTTTCCAACTTCACCTCTGCCGACTCGTTGACTAGCTCCCAGTTCTTTGATGGAGTAAGACTTTTTGACCAACAGGTTCCTTGTGTTCAAAGCAAGCTCACTCTCCAGCAACCAGTGAGTAGCAACAAACTCGGCCAACCCCACCACTGGCCTGCAGTCGTGCAGCTGGTGCGTCCGCAGGTCGGCCAATGGCCAGCAAAGCAACTTCCTGGTGACCTCCACTTCTCCGTCGCTTCGACGACGAGGCGTGCGACGCATGAGTGCAAACGATGCGCCCCCCCCATTCTTGCGCCTGATGGTGGGGGGGCTGAAGCGCTCCGTGGACCAGCATCAACACCAAGCCTTCGCACCACGTTGCCGCGTTGTGAGAAACCATCTGAAATCTATATATATATATATACAATCATATATATATACTATACATTACTATACGCATATATATATATATGTCAAGACAACGGGGTTGGATCCTACCAACACGAAAGGGCACGCTGAAGCCTTTTCTCGCCTGAGCAAAGCGGTCCCTGCGAACGATCCGATGGCATCAAGGCAATGCATGCTGGGCGCATCAACACTGACTATATTTTCTATGGTCGAAGGGCAGTGTCGATGGTTTCCACATCAGCAGCTTCTATCGCCAGTGATCTCAAGTGGTGTAGCTTCACTTGAACGATCGGCGCACTTCCGTGCCTGGAATCAAGCAACCTGTCTTTCCACCAGTCTTGGCACTCTCAGCTTCGAATCGATGGATGTAGGCGATCAAATCCTAGAGCTCTCCTCCGGAGGATTCAAGGCGAGGCCGGCACCATTTGACATAGCTGCGGGCTTCATCCTCTTCAGAATCAATCAAGTCACGGTAGCACCAGTTCCGGGACTTGAACTTGCCAAAGGAGATCTTGGTGGTGCCCCACTGCTTAGTGGAGACAATGCCGGGCGGCAAAGGAATCTCGGACATGAGCTCGGGTGCGGTGGAAGGAAAAGGCACATCATCGCTTGTTGCGGCATATGTCGAAGAGCCCTTGGTATCACGCTCCAGCTCTGGCACCTGCATGGTCTTTCGACCTGACTTGGTGTTCATGGGGTATTGACCAGAATCGCTCTGCCTCTTTGAGGCGTCACTCATAGTGCCAACGAGCTCGAACTCATCTTCAACCCAGCCTAGATCCGCCAATGGATTCACTCCATTGCGGGAAGCCTTGTACAGCAAGGCTCTCAGCTGCTCATTGTCCTTTTGACTCCAGGACATGCTGTCGGTGCGCACCGGCGAGACAGGATATGCGGCTTGATTTCTTCAAGACTTGCGCAAAAACAGAAAAGTAAACAAACTGTGCTTCTGAATGCATGACATAGAAACGGACTGTACATGGCTTGCAATCTCGGTTTCGAACAACACACTTGAATGCACCCTCAAAACTGCTTTGACAGTTCAAGCATTGCATGGTTGTTACTTCACTCGAGATCTAACATTTTATCGAATTCAAGCATCGGCGAGCTCGGGACTGAGAACCTCTTTTTCCTTCGAGAGAGCTAGATTTCTTCTCTGAACGCGCAACTCTCTTTCAGCAGCCTGTTGAGCTAGCACGTGTTGTTCTGGGGAGATTTGATATGATGCACTACGCATACAAGCTCTGAGAAGGTCTATGGGATCCATCTTATCCTTTGTGAGGGCATCAGCTAGCATGCGGTTTGTGGGGATCCATCGCATAGAAGACTTGGTTGCTTTAATTGACTCACGAATGATGACTATATCTATGCTGGTTCGTCGATCATCTACTGCTGTGGGTGAGGAAGGACTGATGAGATGGTCATATAACGATTTACAGTCTGTCGTGAGGATTGGAGGACGATCATGTAAACGTTGGCGGCTCAATCTAGGCTCGAACTGACCATCGAGAGCTTCGCTGAGGATCAAGCTGACCCACTCAACAGTTCCAGAAGCGGTAGCCAAAGCCTGGCTTTCGCCCGCTAATGTCGAACTCACAGCGCGAGGCAACTTGTAGCTTTTCCAGGCCAATGGTGTCCAAGGTGAGATTTCTCCTTTGTCCAAACCTTGGTCGACAAAAGCTAAGATGTAGCCTGCCTGTGTGTGAGTCCCAACATTTGCGAAAGCAGCGTCGCTATGACAGCAGACTCGAAGCCGATCAGGTGGGATGGCACGAAACTGGATCTTTAAGTCTCTGTGTTGCTTCGCTCTCCGAATTGCATTGTTGGCATCTCTCAGGTGCTTAATGCATGGATGAGGAAACACTTGCTGAGAGAAGCTTGTTTGCACGGCAAGGTCGGGTCGGGATTGTGATGAGATCCAGTTAAGGCTTCCATTGATGGCTCGGAGAACTCGGATCTGCTGATCGGACAAAAGCTGCTCATTATCTACTCCCTTGGTCACATGCGCTGGACGAAGGTTCTCGGCGAAGTTCTTTTGAGACATGGAGATCTCTTTGGTTTTGGGGTCTTGCACATAAAAGGCACCACAAAATTCCCCCGACTGAACTCGCCATTTCCTATATGGGAACCTTTGTTTCAATCTATGAACAGCATCTTCGAACACCTGACCTTGACCGCCTAGAGCGGTATCGTCCACGTGTGCACCCATGATACCTACGAGTAGATTGTCTTGGCGCAAATAGTACAGGCAAGGGTCAAACCTAGAACGTTCCCAACCAAGTGAACATGCAGCTTCATCGAACGTGCGGTGCCACGAGGACGGAGCGTCGTTCTGTCCGTAGACATTTCCAACTACCTCCAGAACAGCGTCATCATCGACCGACGGAATACCACCTGCAGGAATTCGAGCATAGAGGGGCCGAAAACGATCTGGAAGCGGACCAGCCTCTAGGAATGCTCCTTTTATATCCCCTAGCTGCAAATTCCAACCGTATGATGTGGTAACTTGCATGAGTATCATTCGTCCTATTTGACTCAGTGTGGGACTCTGAAGCAACCCTTCATGAAGCTTGGTGTCCAGATCTGGGTCCAAGTGCCCTTGTAGGCACCAGCGGCTTTTCACACGAAAAGAACTTGGATCTTCAGGGTCAAAGTGGAGATTCTCTTCCAAAGGCTTGCGAACAATGACAAATCGACTGCCCATGAAACGGTCGGGATGTTGAGCCTTTATCCAAGCTGCTTTCTTTCCAGTGTGAACCCTAATGGCACCCTTTTCCATGAGAGTGGTCCATTCGACTAACTTGGACTCTTCTACCGCCTGTTGCAAGAGTGGGGGATTCCCCGTCGCCGGAATTTCTTTTCCGGCCCTCTTTTGGAGGTAGGCTGCGATGAGCACTTCGATATCTTTGGACTGGTCCCAAATCTGACACAATTGATTGCAGTCTTGAACCGACAGGATTTCCACTGAAAGTTGGTCGTCGGACATGAGTCTAGCCCTATAGTTGACGGGGGTTCAGTTGTGTCGGTGGTCTCGGGGTGATCACGCTTGATACCAGAAGCGCTGCTGGGACCAGAAGAAACAGTCACTTGTTGATCGATGAGTTGTGGGACAATTTCACGCATGATCTCAACAAAGTCTTCATGTCTGGTCATAGGAGGACGGTAAAGCGCCGCCTCTCCAGATTTCTCATGCACACGATGCTTAGATCGAATGGGGCCATAGCCTGTTTGACTGGGCATCGGCGACTTGTCAATGACTTCAGGCATTTCGGCATTCTGTTCTGCAGGTGAGGCTTCCGCAGTCATGGGAACATCCAGGTCCACATTAGTACTTGGGTTTGACTGTTCCTCAGTTGGAGCAATTTGAGGAATTTCTTGAGCTGTTGGACTATCGGATGCAGTTGTTACAACCCCCGGTTCATTCGGATCCTCCTGTTGCAGTGTGGGGTAATGACCAGGAACCAAATCGATGAAGTTCTTGCTGCGAAAAGTGCCTCCTATGATCATGTCCTTGATACCTAGCAATTCTGTTTCCGGTGTCTCGACAGTTGCTCGTTCTTCGGAAGTTGCTAACCTCAGTTGTTCAGGTGCCGCTCGAAAAATTTGTTTCCGATGTGCAATGATCAGGTTTCGACCGACATTCCCGATGACTACCGCTGTGCCGTACCATTGACCACCTTGGATCACGCCTTCCCCGGACTGGAATTTCTGTTGTCGCCAGTAGGCAACCAGAGTACCTGCAGGAAAGTTCAACACGGCACGAGGTCGGGCAGCCAAGGCTCGACGCAACGACTGGCTGTCTTGCATTTCTATCACCGCTCGCCGTGCTGACGTGCGGATGGATTGTGCTCGAGCGACACACTCATCGGTCAAACCCGCAGTGGCAGGAACAACACTCAATGGTTCATCCATGAGATCGGAGGGTACCCGAGGATTACAACCAAACACATGTTGTGTTGGAGTATACCCATAGTTCTGAATCATGGAATTCTTCACATGAGCATGCACAACACATTCTTGCCATGTTTCACGATCGACCGGGCAATGTTCTGCAATGATCTTGGTCAGCACACGAGCAAACCACCCACCGTGGTTTTCCGTTTTCCCGAGTTGCCAGTGGGCTTCAGCTGGGATTACTCGGACTTCAGTCCCTGACAAGTCAAGAGCATTCTGTAGGGCTTCTCCCATGTTGGTTTGAGCGGGATCTAGGATGATCACTTGTGGGGGCCCAAACACGCGAATCCAATTGTCCAAGAACAGCTTGCGAAGAACAGCAGTGGTTTCTGGTTCATGAAAGGGAAGAATCATCTGATAACTACTTCCATGGCAAACAATGTTGAGGGCACGAATCTTTTGATTGGGTTTCCAACCTGGCAAGTATTTGACATCCATGCCGATGGTGTGATTGAACTCGGTCACGCGACTGGTCTTTGCTGGCAATGCGACATGCGGTCGAGCGTGTGTTTTGCACTGTTCGCATTCGTATTTCCTAGACAGTGTGATGGCTCTTTCACTGGCCTGGGCATGTTTCAAGATTCGGACGAGATCATGACTAGGAGGATGACCCAGGTTGCGATGCAATCTATCTAGGACTTTCATGACTTGTTCATCGGATGCACCTTCAGCCTCTAAGTCTTGTCTTGCCATCAGGACCTCATGTCGCTGCGCACTTGTGCCTACTTCGCATTCCACCAGACTGGCGGCTTCATACTGTTGAAACGTGGGGACTGTTTGCAGCACGGCTTGCACAAACTGAGGAGTGTATTGACCTGCAAAAACACTGATGGACCCCACGCCAGGAGCCGAGCCAGCAATGATCTGGTGGCAGGCATGCCGTGAATGGTTTGCTCCTGGACACCTCTTACCTAGGCATTTCATGTCCTCATGCGACACTAAAAGATTTGCGCTCTTACGGATCAACTGTTTGGAACCAGGGAGGTGCAAACCATACCGACACATGTGACAGGTGACTAGCTCATGCTCTTGGCACAATGCTTGGACTTCAGGATATGTCCACAGCCTGGACCCCTTGGGATGTTCAAACACGGCCCGTTTGCCGGCTCTTACTTGTTGACGGAACAGTTGACAGCAAAATCGAATTCTGCTTTGAGCCAGCTTGGTAGCCACCTCCTGAGGGTCCATGTATGCCACGTTCAAATGGAACCACCCTCCCTCATTGGTACATGGAGGGCACAAAATCAGGAGTTCCGGCGGAGATTGCCGGAGTTCTTCTCTGACCTGTTGGCGAGTGGCGGCTTTGCAGAAATCAAATCCAGTTTTGAGGTCGTATGAACGAGTGGAAAAACCGAGTGACTCTGCATGTGGGGCGAATCGTGGAGGTGAAAACACCTCAGCAACCATGAAGGGTTTTCCATCCAACTGTGAAATACCTGAAGATGTCAACGGAGCGCATGCACAACACTCGAACTGCCTCAGCTGATGAGGAGGAATGACGTCAACAGGTAGCATCTGTTCCTGTGGCACGAAGCGAAATTCGGTGTGAACGGACAACACTTCCCTAGGTAAGGCGTGGCGATATGTGCTTTTACCTAGTTGTGGATGAATCGGCTCATCAAACAGACACTTGCCCGTGGAGGCATCTGTGACGATTCGCCTCCGGACTGAACTCCACAAAGGACCTTGCTTACCTAGACCTGGCACATGAGAGACAGCATGGTCAAACCGACACCAACTAGCTAGGTGGTCCGTGCCTGTGGCTGATGTGGAACTTGATGATGATCCGGGATCGTCTGACGTCTGGGGGTTCAGAGTACTGCACTCTGAAGCATTAGATGGCTGCGTGATCATGACTTCGGCAAATGGCTGCGAAGCGGAGTCACTGGGCTGACCGAGCAAATCAACGGTGTACTGACCAGCTTGATTGGTCAGCAGTGGTATCTTGACCTGATCTTCAAACAACTGCAGCTCATTGTCAGCGAAGTTGATCACTGCCTTTAATGACTTCAAAGCATTCCGGGAGACCAGCAGGGGCGCTTGGCCCTTGACAATGGCAACTTTGATTGTGCCTGCTCGACCGCCTAGCCGAACAGGAGCTCGGATTGCCAACTCAGAGGTCTCTTGTTGGCCATTTCCATACTTGAAGTGATTTGTCTCGGCGAAGGGGACAGGAAGTTCCCATCCACGATCTGTCCACAGGGCCTCAAACTCCTTCAAGGTATCAGCTCCAATGATGGATTTGCCACATCCAGAATCCAATACACCACAGCCAGGAGAACTGACTAGGAGCATCTCTGTACTGGATGGGACGGGTTCAGATGGTGCCGTCACCGTCGTTGCACGCTTGTTCAACAACCACTGTAAGGACAACCAGGGCGAGGGAGGAGGTGTCACAATGCTCACTGCAGCAATGAACTCTTCAACCATTGCTACACCACTTTCAGCTGTTCTATGTTGTGATGTCGAGGACGGTGCTGAACTGGCCTTGTGACCTTTGCCCGAGCCCTTGGTAGAGCGACACTCTCGGGCCCAATGACCGACTTGGCCGCACTTGTTGCACTTGGTTCTGCGCTTCATCTCCTCAATCTCAACCTTGAAGCTCCGCTTCATGTCACTAGCTTGTGTAAACTTGCGGGCTCGCTGAAGCTTGGTCATCTCCTTGCGGCGTTCACGCCATGAGACAGCTAGGGCCTCGGCAACATCCGGTTCTTCGAAGGTCTCGCCTGGCGTCTCGCCAAAAGGACCGACCTGGTGCTCTGCCAAAAACTGTTCAAGTTCTGTCAACTCAGGGTCCGTCTCGTCAGCCTCGAAAGACAACTCAGGGCCAGTTGCATCCTCTTCAATCAGGGCCACGCTGTTAGCATGTCGCTTGCTGACCACAAATTCAGGATACACAGACCTCATGGCCTTTCCAATGTCATCACGTTTCAACGAACCCATGGAGCGGGACAAAACGACAGCTTTTTGTTCAGCGCTCAGTCCAGAACGGTGGAGGATGAGCCATCCTCGTGCCTCCTCTGGGAATTTGACTTGTACTTTGCGATCTGTACGATCAAAAAGTTCAGTGGCACGGGACACCCAAGTCTTGAGTGACTCTCCCTCGACAGCCTTCATCTGGAACACCTCTTGGAGGATCTCGGACATTTCGTCCGATTGATCACGCTGGGGAAAGCGCTGATCTAGCAGATCAAATAAAGCCTTCTCTCCGTTGGTCTTTTGGTAGACCGATGGGTCGAGATGCTCGACACATTCCAGAGCTTTTCCGGACAGCAGGGTGTACACGTAAGCGCCCTTGGCGTTCTCGGGCACCTTGTCACCCAACGTGAGGAGTTTGTTGGTGACCCACGTTCGCCACCTTTTATACTCCTTGGGGTCTTCAGCATCACCGCTGAAGTGCTTCAGACCTTGAGGTTCTGAAGCAGAGGAAACAGCCATGGCATCAAAGCTGGGCGCAAATCCAGCTGGATCCTACCAGCGGGAGCCCCGGTGTTTTACACCGAGGCTCCGCTACCAATGTCAAAACAACGGGGTTGGATCCTACCAACACGAAAGGGCACGCTGAAGCCTTTTCTCGCCTGAGCAAAGCGGTCCCTGCGAACGATCCGATGGCATCAAGGCAATGCATGCTGGGCGCATCAACATATATATGTAATCAAACATCCTCAGGGATCTCAGGGTGTGAAGTCTTAAAGTTTGATCGTCCTCAGATCTTCATATTACGTCAAACATGCATCGATTCTAAAGATTCACTCAGTGTGACATATTGTTTGCATCCAGCGGTCCCTGGCCTCTGTGCTATCGCTGAGCGAACTTGACCTGAGGAGATTCTCATCATTCTCCAATTACATGCAGCTCTTCCTATACTTGAAGTAAGAACCCCAATAGCTCACGCTATCTGAGGAAGGATCAACCGAACACCATCAACACCTTCGCCCTCCATACCGTCCGACCACCCACCCAGCCTCTGGCCTGCCTGGCCTGCCTGGCCCGATGGCCGTCCCCACTGCTCCACCGGCTGAGCCGCCCCACAGACCTGACCCTTCCGCAGCACACGCTCCGGCAGCTGCGCCACGAAGCGTTCCGAGGCGCTGCGCGTGTCCTGCACGCAGGTGTGCCGTCCACGGCCAGCGTGGGCTCCCGGAAGCTCACGCCAGATGCTTGGGCAAAACTAAAAAACGGATGAATGTCCAAAAAGTCTGCATAATGTTGCTGAGATCGTCAGAGTCTTTCGCTGGTTGGGTTCTTTTTGCTTAAGCAATACTTGAGCGGGTCTCTTTTTAATGCAACTTCGGTCTCTGCCTGAGGATCATGAAGCGCTTGCCCCACTGAAACTCGAAGACGTGAACCACCATCCACGAGCTCTGGGTCTTCCATGGCCTCCTGAAACGGACCAAAGCTGTCTCTCTTCTGAGAAAGAAACATCGGGAACACATTGAAACACAAACACATGCAACTGTTGTTTCATCCACTTTACCACCGATGTTCAGGCTGAAGACTTCGACGTCTCTCAACCCATACAGAAAAGCGCGGCACCACCAAACCAGGACGAACAACGAAAAACCACTTTTGCTCGGCGCCTTCAGCCACTGGCGAAAGCTCATCTTGGTGCGATCCAGCACCTTCAGGGCGACACCTTTCGGATGTTCTTCCCGCAGTTGTCGAGGAAGAAAACCCTCCAAAAGATCTCCTGAGAGGAGAGAAGTGCCGTCGAGGAGCTGTGCCACGTAAAGAGTCTGCCAGTCTGACTCAGTCTGACTCAGTCTGACTCAGTCTGGCAGTATCTGGCACTTTCCCTGCAAAAAACAGCATCTGGTCTCACAAAGGAACCACTGACTACCAGGAGAAAGGGATGATTGAAGGCACATGCTCTTCCAGATCAACTTGTGGTAGGCTAGCTGTCGAGGGTGTAAAGAAAAGTGCCCCTTCTTTTGCCAAGGATCTGATGGCATCTTGCGCAGAGCTGGACTGAAAAAGCATGAAACCATGATCTGCCAGCTTCAAGCCTCAGATACCCAAGGGAAGAAGAACCCATTCTGATCAAAGCGTCAGAGCCATCAAATCAAAACAGGAAGGTCACACTCTCTCCACCGCAGGTCACACGGATGAGGAACACAGCTAGCCCGGCTAGCTAGTAGTCGTGCACTCCCACCCACCAGGCCGCCCAACCTCCCCACCAAACCATGGAGAAATCTGTTCATTTTCGGTGGTCTGGCAGAGGGTCAACCTGTTCTGACCCACTCCCATATTCGTTTCTTTCTGCGGTTCACTCGACGAGAAACCATCTCTGAAGAAGGTCAGCGGCAGGGTCTCCATGGTGCTCAATCGAGCACACACACCACCACCTGCCTTCTCTTGCACGACCTGCGGCTGTGGCAAACAGGAAGAAATATGAAACAAGTCGAGATGTTGAATTTGTCTCATTTGAGACACCAAGGTGAAATGCCAGGCAGTCCATCCCTGCCTTTGTCTCCTGCTCCAAAGCAGAATTCAACGCCTCGATCCTGGTTTGGATTACCTGGAGCCCGAAGATCTCCGGAAGCGACGCCACTCAAAAAACGAGGACATAGGAAAAAAAACGAAGAGATAAGAACCCTCCAAGACGTAAACCTTCGGCGTTGCTCTTGGATCCTTTGACCTTTAAAACGCTTATCGTGTTCAGGATGTCTACTGAGGCTTCGTTCTTCTCACAGCACCTGAATATCAACTGCGACCCCACTTCCCGAACGAGGTCGCCAAGGCAGGCCGTAGTCCTTAGAAGTCCAAGTGGGTCACACAGTTTGAAAGTCCAGAGAGAGGTCCAAAGAGGTCCTCCAAGATGTACCAAGTACTGCTGATCTGAAAACTCTGCAGGAGATGGGAGTCTCAACAGAGACTCCGATGGCTGACTGGAAAGTCTTGAGCTTTTGGTAGAGGTTGAAGGCTTCAACTTGGCCAAGCGTCTGCCATAAACTGTTTCATCTCCTCCACTTGGCGGCTCAAACGGTCGCATTCAGCTTGAAGCAGGCTTTCGCTGTCACACCCTTGCCAAAAGCTTTCAAGAATTTGGAAGGCTTCAACAAGTGAAACATTTGACCAAGAATGGATTGAGTCCAAGGTCTTCATAGAAAGCGGCTCTCACTCACACTTATATAACTTATATATGTCTCACACCAAGCCTGGAGAGGTGTGTTGCCTGGCCCTGGCAAGCTGCTCTCGCAGCTCTTCCATCTCCAGGTTCTGTTTCTGAAGCTTGGCTGTCAGCTGCCTGTGCCCAACTTCAGATCCACATCGGTCGAATGCCATGTCTGACAGAGCAGAGAATTGCTTCACATCTGCCGAACTCGCACCACGTGCGACTTCACCAAGCCACTTGTTGGTCTGCTCCACCTGCGCCAAGCGCGACGCCATGCTGGAGACCAACGAGTTGTCTCCGGAACGAGGGCGACGTACCTGGCGCCACCGCACAAAGGCGAAGGCGATTTCCAGGGGTTTCTCGACTTCTCCCTTTGACCGGATTGATGCATGGTGGTGCTGAGAAATTGACATGCCCATGTAACATCCGTGCTGGTCATCTTTCATTGGTCTGATCCCTAATCAGTCACCTGCAGAGATCCTCGCACTTCAGACTTAATGGACCTAATGGATTTTTCTGCATGCTTCCCTGTCGCGTAGCAAATTCCAGCCCAGCTTCTTGGCGAATGAACAAGTATCACAAAACTCAACTTCAACAGCGATGTTGAAAGCTGCTTAGTGAGACATAAATGACATAAACAATCCTCAACTCCAGAAGCTGGCATTCCAGTTGAGCTCCCTAGCCTGCAAAGATCCGCGTCTCGCAAATCAAGAGGCACCATTCGGTGCCCTTGACTTCGAGACCAAAAAGGCCCAGCCGGGCCAAACTGAAAATCTGCAGTTCACACCCGGTAGGGTGCTGACGACCTACGAATCGATGCAAAGCGGCTCAAGAAACCACGGTGCGCCACTTTGGGCACAGCAGCTTGCGCCTCCAAAGAATCCGCGTAGAGCACCGGCTTCTCATTTTCGGAGCCTAGCTCCCCTAGCTCTGAGTCATCTTCCAACTCCGGAAGTGCTGGGAAGCTGCGCCGGTCGGGCACGAGTGTGCCAAAGCTTGCTCTGCTGGGGAGTGTGTCGAAACTCTTTCGATCTGGAACCAAAGTGCTGAAGCTTCCTCTGTCAGGAACCAGGGTGCGAAAGCTCGCACGATCTGGGATCAGTGTGGCGAAACTCTCGCCCCTGGGCGCCAGCTCCGCACCCCTCTCCGCCCGATTGGTGCCCTGCCCGGCGCCCAGCTCCGGTTCCTCTCTTCCGCTCAGTGCCAACAGCAAAGTCTGAGCCGAAGCAAGTGGATCGGCATGGGGGGCCGCGAAGTTCGGCTCCAAGATTTCAGTGATCTCATCTGCAGTACTAGGCGTGCAGCAGCCACATTGCACAAGTCCCATGCTGAAGAGCGACACTGCACTTCGGGACAAAGGCGGGAGCACCACAGCTTGGAGTCGCTTTGACATATTGTGCCATACACTCATGCACTTGATAGGAGTATATGTCTGTGAGTCTTGCAATGACGCAGACAGAATTTCACCTACTGCAAACTGCCTGAACAACATCTGTTCTGCTGGACAAACTGCTGTGTTTCCTCGGCTGGAGCCAGCTGCCTCTGAAGGTCCAAAGCTCATGTTGAGCTCGGCTCAAAGAGGGACACCAAAAGATTTCTAATTCATGGTATGTATGGAAACCGAGTATGTTTGAGAACGGGACAAATTCAAAACCAGAAGTTCTTCTCTCTGTCCTTTCGCTTTTGGCCTCGCCTCGCGAGTCTCACGGTTCAAGACAGCGGCACCAGCTTGTGGCAGTGGAGGCCGACTCATGCCTCACGGAGATGGCACGACTGGATGAAATGGTTCAAAAGGGGAGGCATAGCTGAAAGACATATTTAAAAAAGAACATATATCGTATCTTTGAAAAATCTAGAGGAAGTTCTTCCAAACTTGCCAATGGCATCAGAAAATGACACTCCCATGGTCTGGGCCACCCGTGCCTGGTACGCCTGTAGCCTCCCTCCGACGAGGGGGGCTCTCCTTTTCCAAAGACGGCCGGTCCTGGGGAGGCTGAGCTGTTCTTGCGGTTCCAAGTCTCACATGGCTCCCGCTGCATTGAAAACACCAAACAGAACATATAAACATACCTTACAATTCATGGAAGCTCATGTCTCATTGAAAACGCCATTATAAACATATCATGGAAGCTCATATCTCTACAGATGTTGACCCAACGTGGAGCCCCATCAAATGGTGCTTTTGTTTTCTTTCGATCGAAACGCTCCTGCAACAAGGCGGACAGAATCGAACTTTGAATGTCAGGCGTCACGTTGTCGAGGTCATCTTCGCCTGGGGCGACCCAGTGCCGACAGAGCAAAGGTCAAGGGAAAAATCCTGAAGAGGTGAACTCTTCTCGTTTTCTTTCCTCACTGTCTCCAGCCTCTAAGTGGTGCAAATGAATATATAACTTTATGATCTCATCAATACTGCTTGTACTCTGGCACTTGCAGCAGCTGGCCTAACCGGATGGGTCGGCGCAAAGGCTGCGCTACCATCGGAGGCACTATTGAGCTTTGCTGGCAACGTGTGGCACATGCTTGGGCCAGGAAATGTATACAGTGTGGACAAGACCGAGTGCATTGCGATGCACCACCTAGAAAAAGGCCTTTGGGACAATGGCTGCTAACCCGAGGTACAACTACCTATCTGCAGAGTGAATTCAGCTAGCGGCAAGTCACGCTGGGCGTCTGATCACAGTTCCGCTGCCATGCCATGTTTTGTGACGGAACTTCACAAGCACCACAACTTTCCGCTCGGATTCCCTTGAAAGGAACGCCACACAACGATTTGCTTCCTGTTTTCGGTAAGCATTGGTCGGCGCTGCTGTCGCAAGAGGAAAGACCTGGGCAAGTCTGACCCAGGCATCAAAGGAGTGCAGTTGGGGTCGCCCTCAACTTTCACCTGAAGAGATTTTTGGACTCAGCTGTCAGCTCGAAGAAGCAGCTGACAGCTACTCTGCCGTGACGAATCAGGTCGGCGGACACAGCGTTCGGCTGTGCGCTACTCTTCGGGTCGCCATGACGCTTTTCTCGAAACGTGTTGCCAAAAGCATGAGCGTCACACTAAACCATGCCCAACCATCTGATATATAATGCTCAGGACCATTCAAGACCCTTACCTCCAAGCCTGCCTTCAGTTCTTCACGGCCGAAATGCTGCGGTCACACATCTCCTGTATGGTATGCCATGGCCAAAACGCTTGAAGAGTCTTCAACACAAGCAAAAAAACGGAATGACAACCTTCCCTAAACAAAAATCCAACAGGGTCAAACAAAAAGTGTGTGTGTGTGTGTGGAATTGAATGAACGAGTTGAAAGCAGGACAACTTTGACAGCACCACCAAGGTGCATGATGCGGGCGACCCTTTTTGCCCATGCACCCCAAGAATCACTGGTCGCTGCTCGCCTCAAACTCTGCGCCAATTCACAAGAACCGGTCTTTGAGCCATCTGGCCAAGCGCAAATCGGAGATTCTTCAGCCATCTGGCCAGACAAGCGGATACTATCCGGAAAAGGGTTCTAAAGGCTACAAAAGACACACTCCACGCCTCTAGCAAGTACCTTCAAGAAGAATATGGCATTGCGAACTCAGATTGGATCTTCTCTGGCACCGCAAGCAGGCTGCTTTCAAAGGCTTTGGCAGCTCAGGAAGAGTGAAAGAATCAACGTCTACATACACTCCCTGCCAATGTCTTGAAAAATCTCATAGCTGTTCCCTGGATTGTGAGGAATCACTGCGGTCGAGTCAAACTTTCGGCAGAGCTTCTTGCGACTTTTGCGACCCGAACATCTGTGGGTGGCTTGTATTCTTTCACAGATGTCGTACGGATGCGTTACAGGAAGAAGATTGTGTTCAGCATTTCTCAAGTGCGCCTGTAAGACCTCAGAGCTTCGAATCGCTGCCTCAGGGCAACAGTCAACCAGCTCGTGGAAGGAACGCACGAGGCTCGTGCAGGAGGAATCAGAAGGCTTAGCAAGCGGCACAAAGACCTGCAATTGAAGCACAGGCACCCGGAAGTGCACGCTGCACAAGTTCTGCTTACCACACTCCAAATCCTTCAGGCCCGAGAGCCTCCGCTCAAGGCAGCGGCTGTCTAATAGAATTATGCAGCGCAACTCTCCGCCAGCATGCTCAAAGGATCTGGCAAAGGCATCAACAACATTGCTACCATAGCTCTGCCCAATCAAGAATTGCAGCTTGCCCTTCGACAGTGCTGACAACAAAATTGAGCAGCTGTGCTGACATGTGTGCTCCAGTGCATTGATCGAAAGTAGCTGGCCAGGTGAACAGAATCGTTGCATGTCAGGAAAGGTTTTGCCAGAAGTTCTTATATACCCCTCCACCGCAAGTGTGTCAATAAGATCGCGGCTCTGCAAAATCTCAGGGCAATCCAAGGCACGGCTCTGTATGGAATTAATTCTTGTTACAGATATCAGTGATGCGCTCGTGTTCAGACTGAAGGATTCATCGACGATGTGAAAGCCACACCAAGTGCGTACAGGCTACCTCCTTGTTATGAATCAGAGCTACCGTGTGTCTGTCTTATGCGCCAAGAGACAGTGCATGCAGGGTTCCAAGAAAGGAAGAGAAGTTCGAAGCGAACAGCGTCTTGTGGAAGTGTCATGTGAGGATGGTTTTGCTGGCAAAGAAAAGCCACCTTAGCACGGAACCTGCCTTGGCATAGTAGCATTTTCTCAACCGTTCCAGCTTCTATGATATTGTGTCTTCCTCCGCATTCAGAAAGCGATTTTGCCAGGCGGGCGGCTGTTGTCAGGCATCGTCGGGGTCAGCCTCTTGAAGCAGCTTCATCTTGTGAAGGTAGGTTTGGAGCAGCCTGTAAGTAGGCCAAGGCAATCTTCCTGGCGGCATTTGACAATGGGTCTGGATGCTTCTTGCTAAAAGCAACTTTACCTTAGCAATGGTACATTGCACAAACAACTCACCTTGCTCGAAACCCAAATCAGCGCAGAATTCTTTGTATTGGTTGAACGTCATAGTTGCGCAAGGAAGGGACATTGGTCAACGAATGCGTTTAGCGCATTACACACTGCCATCTGTGAGGAAAATAGTTGAGCGTGACAGTGCAGACAGCTTCATGAGATGTTCTTCAGGTAGGACTTCCTGCTATACTGGCAAGCGTCTAGCAAGAGGTCGCAAATGTCGCATCGGTATCTGTTGCGCTCCTCCCTAGCCTGTGCAATCATGCACCTTTGTAGGCGACTCCAAGACAACTTGTTCCGGTAGCGGGCACGTGATCCTGGAAGCAAATGTGCTTTTGACATTAAAAAGTCATGTTTTTCTTCGACCAGTTGACAGCATTGACCCTCTCAGGCGTGCACGCTTTGGATGAACCATCCCATTGGTTTTTTTCTGCAGTGCAAAACCACAACTATGCAGACTATGCATATTTGGTTTCGCAACGTGCGAGCATTGACAATGTGCAGGAGGCAATCGATGTATGGCAGGGAAACCAAATCCAATGCAACACGGTTGCCTGAGCAAATCCAAGGGGTTAAGCAGGGGCAAGCAGAACCGCCAAGGCGCTTTAAGGGGAGATTGGACCCAATGACTCAACAAACAGCTGGTGCCTGTCATGGGCAAACATGTTCGAAATTCTTCTTGCTTTGCTTTTGCTCTGATGGCAGTGAAGACCGTTCACTCACCAAGTGACAAAAAAAGAATGGCAACATGAGGCAACCACTCTGCCATTCTGCTGAAAGGGGCTTCAGCCACAAAGGGCTTGGTGTCAAAACACTGCCACACTCGGACCAACAAGCAGAAGCCTCGGGCAAAAGCCTCATAGCAGCCGGTGTGAAGGACCACATGCTTGTGGAGTGTGAAATGGTGTGAAGGACCTCAGGTCAGCAATGAACCTATGTGAGATGTAGCTGATAGCTCAAGGTGCGCTGGGATTCTCTAGGTCTGATGGGATCTCTTCACTTAACCTTGCTGAGAGTTGGAGAACAGTCGCATGGCATGGTTCCTGTCCAGGTCAAACCTGTATTTTGAAGGCCTAACCTTTCCAGAAACTTGCACAATGATTCTCTGAGCGCTTCCAACTCGAAGGATTGGCCAGGGACATTGGAGCTTGCCCTCCAAGAACTTTATATCACAATGGCCAAAAAGAAATGCCAATCATGGAAACCTAGGCAACATTCTCCTGAATTCACTCGAGTCATTGTATCTTTGATGGGTTCATGGGAGGACTGACTCGCCAGCGCTTGCAGCTCCTCCGCCCGCGGCAATGGTGCTGTGACCAATCGTGCGATCAAGTTCCAACGCAAATGCGCATCAACTGTCGAATCGGAATGGATATACACGAAGCAAAGCTGCATGTTGGTGTGCAAGAGCTACAGCAGTTGCAGCTACAAGACAGCACTTTGTACTCATCCAAACATGTGGCTTCTGTGGGCGTTCACCTCCACAGCGTGAACTTGGATTGGACAACAAATGGCCTGAGAAGTTGAAGCTTGCAGCATGGGCACACACATATACACACCGCGGAACCACTCGCAACCCCACAAGAAAGTGTGGGACTATATAATGACTACATAATCTTGGCATCACTTTCCAATCAGCTGCTCCGAATAGCATGTCCAAGGGTACATCAGTAAGCCGAGAGAAAGCCCCCTGCACTCAAGCCTGGCCCATGGTGAATCCATGCCTGTCGGACTGTTTCTTTTAAGAGCTAGCTCGACACGACCTTACCTTGACAATTGACCTCACCCTCGCCGTAGATTTAGGACAACTCTGCTGCCACATTTACGGCCATACATGGTGAGTGGGGCATGCCGTTCAGTAGGACTGATGTTGCTGCACTTGCATGTATATGCAACTGAAACGGCTACCTGACGATCACATAGGCAAATCAAGAAGCTCTGGCTTCGGGCTGATGGACAGTATTCTATATACCTACTGCAAAGTGATTATTTGGGCATCTGTCAATCTTGATGAAATATCGACCATGTCTAATTGCACAGCTTTGGAAATTCTTGTAGGTCAGACAGCTCAGCTCAGGGAGTCAAAATGTGTTTTCTTGTTGCTTTTTATATATGTAGCCTGTGGTCCGGGCGATGTGTCCAAAACAACATCGAAACTTCCTGACAGCTAGGATCGATTGAATACTTAGTGTCTGCATGTGTCTGCATTTATGCTCAGTGCGTCTAGCAAACCATCTGAGAGGCTGGAATCCTGAATTTTTGGAGCTGACGGCAACCCAGATTAATGCGGTTTACCTGCTACACAGCGACGCCTATGTCTCTGCAAGAGATACGGGTGCAACAACTGAACGACTATCGAATTCAACAAGAATGCCCCGCCCACTCATTCAGTCCAGAAGGAAGTTTCGGTGAAGCATTCTGACAGCCCCCTCGTCCCGAAATCCTTGCAAGCCACGTAAACAGCCTCCGCAAGCTGCACCAGCCTCTCAAAGCTCCAAGTTCCGTGCACTAAACTTCGACCGGCAAGCTGCTTGGCTTGTTTGAATCAAGCTCGCCACTTTGGACACGGAACTCTTGCGAAAATGGGCGCTTGCTAGTGCGCACCA